TGCCGCTTTTCATGTGTGCTGTTGTAGACTGTGCGCGCTACTGGATCTGACACTACCGTGCAGCGCCGAAAGTGTGTTGTCGTGAGCATAAGTTGTTCTAGCACCATATGAATGAAAAGAACTATGTAGACGAGACAAACACAAGTAGTACTGCAGTAGTAATAGCAAAAGTAGTACTGCTTTACAAGTTTGTAAGCCAAAAGAAACAGTCACATAAGGACTGAAGAGGTAGAACACTACTGACGAGGCCTCTTACCCCTGTCCCTCCTACCCTGCGCCCTAATGTGCCCGTGGGAGTACGTGAGTTGGTCCGGGGGTACGGCACGGCCAACCCGTCCTGCCTGTACAGGTGTGACCTCTGGCTGCTCCTGAGTGTGCGCCTCTGGAGCTCCTCCAAGCTGAGAGGAGCCTAGTACGTCGTGGTGGTCTGCACCGTGCAAGTCGTCGTCGTAGAACTGGCTAGTAGGACCAGTCCTACCGGCGTGAGACGAAGAGGCCCCAGTACCGAAGATCCCGGCTGCAAATCCTGCTGGACAAGGACCATCAGTTTCGTACAGGTATTTAACAGTATTAATAAAAAGTAAAGTACCGTGTGGGCGAGGGATCGACGCTCCGTGAGAGGAAGAGCTGGCGAACGCGCTCGAAGAGGTGGCGAACGCCCCTGCGGAGCTCGTGGAAGCGCCGGTCGTGCCTGCGAACGCGCTCGAAGGCAGACGAGGTCCTGCGATGAGGAAACGTGCAGTTAAAACATGGTGACATAATCGTGCAAAAGCTGAAACAAAAATGAACTAATATCTGGGCTGAACTGTACCGTGCGAAACCGGTGCTGTAGGTCGCACTGATCCGAAGCTAGGGGCGCTCGAAGGCAAACGAGGTCCTGCGAGGATGGATCATCAAGTTACGACGGGGTGATGTTTTCGTACAAAAACAGAAACAAAACTTAAGAAACCTCTGGGCTGAGCAGTACCGTGCGAAATAGGTGCCGTAGGTCGAGGTCCTGCTCCGACGGTAGGCGCGCGAGGCCGTAGTTGTACCGGACCAGCTGGAGGTACGACGTCCACGGCGCTGCGACAGGAGAAGACGCGCATGACCGCACGCATCTTCTCCTACATCCGGTCGAAGGTCACCCTCTGCTCAACGTCAGTCAAGTGCAAACCTCTGTTCAACCTCACTTGGACTGCGGTGATATCGGCACTGATATCCCGTGCGGCATCAGCCTATGCAAGATGGAAATAACAAATTCAGTAGTTGTCCTATATTATGCAAGATAAATGAAATAATTGTAAGAAGTAATACAAATTGGATGTACCGCCACGAAGTAGTCTCGGTCCGAACACTCATTACATCACAACAGCATTTTATTTCCTAAATCGAAAGCATTGTTACACCATGGAATCGCCTGCTGCGCGACGACGCCTTGGCCTTGCGCGCCTGCTTGTTGTTCCTTCACCAGGTGGTCGCCTACCATCACTTGCCTGTCCAGATGGACTAGCATCTGCGCCGCTTGGAACTTCTGCATTCTTCGGGCATTTCTTGTAAGTATGGCCGCGCAGATCACACTTGCTGCAGCGTAAAGTCATCCCACCTGCTTCTGACTCATCCATATCATTTCTGATGCGTCTAGTTTGGCGTCGACCCTTTTTCACCCTTAACTTAGATGGATCTGGAATATAAAAAACTTGGGCACTCAGCGTTGTGTAAGATCCTGAGATCCCGAACCCATATATCTCCTCACTCCATGTATGAAAGATTGCTTCTTTCCTGAAATAATTTGAGACGTACACATTGGGAGATATGCCACAATCACCGGCAGCAGCAAGAACGTGTGAGCAAGGAAGGTGATGAAGCTTCGGCTTCATACAACTGCAGGTACATCCACCATCCGCCTTCAAGACACATTCCTGCACGGCTTGCTTGCGATAGATACCACGCCTGCTCCTATCAACACACATTATTTCATACCGATGCACTTGTGTGCCTTGAGCAACAACTCGATGTCTCCGTGCCTTTTTGATTTTATCTTCCATGTACTTTGTCACTACGTTGCCAAACACTATGTTGTCATCGGCCATGGACGGACCAATTTTCTTGTATCGATCCCTAAAGTACACTTGCGTGCCGTGAAGGATGAATTCAACAATAGCAACCAATGGAAGTACCCGAACTCCTCGCATTACCCAGTTGTACACCTCTGCCAAATTGGTTGTCATTATGCCATACCGAGATCCATCGGTGTCGAACAATAGAGACCACTTCTCCTTAGGCTCATTCTCAATCCACTGAGTGAAATTTCTGATGGACGACCCTGACCTCCTTCTCATTGTTGGTGGGTCATCATGTAATGCACCAAGAGGTATGGGAGGCTCGTCACCTTCAACTAGTGGTCTGCGAGATTGCTCATCTGTTTGCTTCGTTGTCAACTCATCCAACTTGTCCCACAACTCATTAAATTTCTTCTCTTGGTTCTGTGCACAGAGCCTCTTAAAGAGCTCCATAAGATGCTTGTTCTTGAATTGCTTGTAGAAATTTGCACCCATGTGACGCATGCACCACCGACTCCGAACATCAGGCCACTTAGCTGGAAGTCCCTTCTCATCCCAACCGTTCTGCAAGTAGTCAATAGCCCGCAACATACCCGCATGACGATCATGTATAAGGCAAACGTTGGGCCTCATACGCACCACTGCAATGTGCACTCTCTCTAGGAACCAGTACCAGCTTTCAGTGTTCTCACTCTCTACAAATGCAAAAGCCATAGGTAGAACCTGGTTGTTCCCATCACACCCAATTGCTGTCAATATCTGACCTCGGTATTTACCTGTCATAAAAGTTCCATCTATGCATAGAACAGGTCGACAATGCACAAAAGCATTGATGCAAGCACCCAATGAGAAAAAGGCTCTTTGCAGCACACTCTTTGTTCGATCATCAACCGATGTAAATGTATGTAGGTCATAGTACGTATTATTATTCCTCTGGGCAATGGTGGCTAACAAACGAGGCAAATTATCATAAGAAGCTTCAAATGTGCCATACCTCATCTCAATGATCTTTTGTTTGGCTCTCCAGGCCTTTGCATAGCTTATGGTGTACTTGAATTTGTTCTCGATGTGCCTAATAATTGATTTTGGTTCAAAGCCAATGTTACCAACAACACTGCTGTACATCTCACTTGCCACAAAAGCTGAAGTGATGTTTCGGTGATACTTCTCCACCCCTTGTAAGTAGCACTTGTGCTCGATCACAATGCTAACTTTCCAATAATCATTCCATTTACCCTTATATGCATGGACACGCCACGGACAATCTTCCTTCATGCACCTCACTTCATACACATAATTTGTTGACTTGACCACCCTAAACTCTCTCTGCAAGGAAACTGCCCAATGCTTCACCGCCTCCTTCATCTCATCCTTATGAGCATATCTTGCACCCTCAATTACCTCGTTCTCCTTATACTCCCAGGGTACATGATCACCCTCTGATATAACAAGTCCAGAGAAGTCCTCATTTGCCCAATCAGTGGCCATTACATCACCTTCCTCATCGGATGATGCGTCGTCGTCCACTTCCTCATTATCCGAATCTTCCCTCTCCATTTCATCAACAATTATACCGACTCTCTCCCCCTCATCCGCCATGCCCATAGCCTGCTCCTCCCTTGGTTGATTTTCCTCATTTTGCATCGATGGTCCAACAACATCCCCTGCATTGATAGGACCCTCTACATCTTCGGTTTGCATTGAAACATTTATATCTTTCTCTTGTACCGACACAAATATAACGAGGGGCCATGACCGTTCAAAAGCCATTTCCACATACCGTCTCCAAGCATCAGTGCTGTCCATCGGCATTAGTTCCCAAAAATAACCTTCTGTTGCACGACTCACTACAACTGACACTGACATTGTGTAGACTTCTTGGTCTATTCTAAATCCTCTCAACAACCAACTATAAATTGACTGAAATGTTCTCTCCGCAGGCCTATCGATGCCCTTAGATGTCATTACAAAATCTGACAGATCAACACCATCTGGACCAAATCTAATATTTCCTTCACCGTGAACTATCTGAAATGTGACCTTACTTGACATTGTGCCTGATGAAAACAATAACTGCGTTAACCTCGCATTTCTGTACTACGCCCTAAGTTACATTCTCTACAATATTGTTCTCTAAATTTCTAAAATTACGTTACATTCTCCAGATCAAACTAAACTACATCTTACAATTAACACTACTGTCTATGTCTCAATTCATACTATTATATTCTATGCTCTGGATCTACACATATGTGCTGTGTGCTACAGATGTGCTAAAATATATGGAACTAAAACTAAAACGCAACATATATACTTAAACATAACATATTAGTACAAATGCAAAAGATGTATGGGAGCATACCTGTGATGAATTGAGCGAACCAGCAGGGCTTCGCCGCTCCCCTTCTGCTGCCCTCCCCTCTCTCTCTTTTGTTTTTTTTGGATTTTTAGTGAATATAATGAAATTTCACAGAGGAGGGACTGGGCTTTATAGGGGGAGAGGCAAAAATCGCCCTCCCCCAGGGCGGCAAGGGGGTCGCCTGCAAAATTCCATGCCCCCTCGCCGCCCATTTGCAGGCGGCCCCCCCACAGTACAAAATCGCCCTAGCGGAGGGCGGCAAGGGGGCCGCCTGCAAAATTCCATGCCCCCCCCTCGCCGCCAATTTGCAGGCGGCCCCCCGCACAGTATAAAATCGCCCTAGCGGAGGGCGGCAAGGGGGCCGAGCGACGGCCGTCTGCCACGTCATTTTCGCCGCCCTCTGAGAGGGCGATTTTTAAGGGCGGTAGGCGACTCCTTCCGTCAATTTTCAAAATAGAAAATTATTTTTGTAAAACTTTTAATAAAAAAAATTATAAATAAAAAATTCTTTATTTGCAGATATGGTCCAACTGGATCAGTACGTCAGCCAATTCTAGGCCGACCGCAACAGCCAACGGAATAAGTTCACTTTAGGTTACTCAATTTTTAGGAGTCAGAAATACGTGTCTGAACTACAATATCATATATGAAGTGCCCTTCAACTTACAAAACCAGTCCTAAAACAGTTTAGATGGCGTTTTCGACTAACATGATGCTTACATGGCGTTGACGTGGCACTTAAAATCAGAAAAAATATAAGGTTGGTTTGGTTTGAGGCCTAAATTAGGCTTACCAATATTTGACAATTTCAATAGTGTTTAGTGTCTATTTAGTTTGAAGCCAACTTTTGACATGCCTACGAAAATAGGCCATTTCAATAGTGAACTTAGGCTATTTTGGCTTCAATCCAAACACAACTTTGTCTTACCAAAATTAGTCATGCCAAAACTTGCCAAAATTTGGCATTGACAAAATTTGGTAAGGCCTATTTAGGCCACAAACCAAACCAACCCTAAGATGCACATGTCAGTGAGTGTTTTGCTAAAAATAAAAAAAATTATAGTTCCTCCTCTTTCTCGCTTTCCTCCTCATCGTAGATGTCATCGGCGGCGGCGGCGGTTGCAGGGCCGGCGAGGCAGAGGTGTGCCCAAAAGATGACCCTGAAATCAAATCTCCCGGAGTTCGTGACCGAGTCGTTCCACCGGAGCAAGCCGCTCTTGACAGACCTCATGGAGCTGGGCGTGCTTGCCGTGCCATTCTCGACGGACGGGAACACGCCGGACCTGCGGTTCGACGAGACCGATGACGATGACGCCGACGACGCGGCAGCTTTCTTCTTCGTATAATCAATCAAAAATTCAAACGTTAATTCATTATTCATGTATCTGCCTTTCAAATCGATTGCTGCTTCTTGCAGATTGCTAGATGGCCAGAAGAAGCAAGCTAATGTGTCACCTGATTCCCCTGTGTGAGTTGGACTTTTCTGAACTTATTTGAAGATATAGCTGAAGTTTTTGCGTATGCAGCGCGGAACTGAACTGCTCTTGCAGGTATCTCTCGCTCCGGCCGGACAGTCGCGTCCGTGGCAGCGACGTCGGGTACCCACCGTGGCAAGCTTTCGTGGCGCAGCTGCCACCGGTAAAGGGGATGTGGTCTGACCTTCTTAACGGGATGGATGGGAGGGTATCCCCGTGGGCGAGCAATAGGCCATGGCGCGCGGGCTCCTAGCGCGCCTCCTCCCGTTGCACTCCAGAGCTTTGATTTCATGGTCATCTCCGGGTGCACCTTCGCCTCGCTGGCCCTGCCACAACGGCCACCGCCGCTGACACCGACGACGACGACGACGAAAGGGAGAGAGAGGAAGAGAGAAGAGGTAAAAGAGATGAGGCGGTGACGTAGGTCCCTCTGCATTTTTTTTATTTTTAACTAAACACTTACTGATATGTAGGTCTCATGTTTTTTTTTTCTGTTTTACGTGTCACGCCAATGCCATATCAGCCGAAAACGTCGTCCAAACCGTTTTGGGACCTTATTTATATTAGTTTTGAGAGTTGTGAGACGCGTCGTATTATTACTATTCAGGGAGACTTAGCGATAAATTAAGGGACCTGAAGTGAACTTAATGCACAGCCAACAGGTCGTACCGTACCCTCAATCCTATTCTAGCCCAACTAAGCGGCCCACACTTAAGCCATTATATTGTACCAGCCCAACTAGAATGATCCGCATGTAAACCATAATAATGTTTTGGCCCAACCAGCCGTGATCCGCGCCACAAAAAACGAACCCTTCCGGCACATACTGCCATTATACATAGGTTAATGCTCAATTATATATAGCTCCAGTTTAAATTGTGTAAAAACTAACATGGAAACTCCATCAGCTATTGAAATCGGTTGTTTTGCCTCCTCTTGAGTGGTTGGTTTTATCCTACATGCACTACTGGAGAAAAGGGTCTTCACTCACGGTTCGTAACCCCCTGTTGTCCCAGTTGTGCAACCGGGACCCCGAATCAGGTACTAAAGATGGGCATATAGTCCCGGTTGAAATAATCGAGACTAAAGATGAATCTTCGTAATACGAACCAACACTAAAGATCAGAGTGCCACGTGGCTGACGCTCTCATCTTTAGTATTTTTTTTTGTTTTATTTTTAATTATTTTTTTTGCTACTTATATTAATTTCAAACCAAACTCAACGACAAAATCATCCCCATTCACAAAACATCACAAAATCATCGACAAATTCATAGATCGAATGAACATACTCAAATTGACATAACAAATTCATTAGACCCACGGTATGAACAAATTCACATAAAAAAACAAATACACATTAATCAAGTCATTGTCGCGCCGGCCGCCGCCCGGTGCTGCTCCTCGTCCGGCGTCGTGTTAGCCGCCGCCGCCGCCCGACGCGCGCAGGCCGCCCTTGCCCGGTGCTGCGCTGGCCGCCGCCACCGCCCAACGCTGCTCCTCTCTGTTGCGAAAAAAAATGGAGAGATGAGATATAGAGAGGAGCCTAAGGATAAGATCGATAGAGGATAAGATAGAGATGAGAGAGAGAGAGAGAGGAGGAGGAAAGGGAGTTACAGATGAGGAGGAGTTTGTGAGGATGAGGTGAGGATAAGTGCGAGGGATTATATATAATGCATCGATCTTTAGTTCCGGTTGGTAACACCAACCGGGAATAAAGATAGTGGGACGCCTGACATATTTTGAACCGAGACTAAAAATGGTCTTTTAACTTACATTGCGATTTTAAATCGGGACTAATATGGATTTTGCATGACCCAACAAAGATCAGTTGCCAGTAGTGATGGTAGCTACATGGTATGTTTCCGGTATTCATCATATATGACTCTTACATGGAATTATAATCAGTAAAGAAATGTAAAAATATATTGAGGCCGACGAGGATGGACGCTGTAGCAGCCATAATAATGGGCCACAACACATTAGCAATAAGAAGAGTACCATTTACATGGCAATAACGTGTCATATCTTCACGTATGACATGTATTTTTCCCGACCAGAATACTCATAGGCATAAAGCTATAACAACAGCAAATAGTTCAGAATAAATAAATAATAAATAAAAATCTAGGGGAAGGAGGACGGGATACTTTAGTGACCACTTTCCTTTCCTTCGTTTGGCTGAACTCCCACGCACAAGCTAAGCAGTAGCGTCCCTCGTCTCCTTGCCCCCATCGACCACAACAACAAACAGGGAAGGAGGAGCACGTAAGAAAAAGAAAGTAGAAGAGGAGAGGAGGAGCCGTTGATTGTGACTTGCTGGGCAACCAACACTACTACAGAAATGAATATTTAGGTCAGCATTATATATGTCGGAAATGGTATAAACGTTAGCTGTAGTGCCTTGATACTTGGTACTTACGTATAACGGTATTTGGTAGTTGGTTTGGTACCTCACAAGTCACAACAGGGAAGATGGGAGTTCATTGAGGAGAGAAAGGGAGTAGAATAGTGATGAGGACATCAACAATTCAACACCATCAATACATCCATGTCTCCACAAGTACAAGTACAACTATCGGTGAGTTCATTCTTTACTTCATGTTTATCTTAGTTATACCACAGAGATGCGCGCACTCTTGTTTTACTCAGGAACAATAGAGAGGATCCAAAAGGAGAGGATTCACGCGGGCTGGATTCGGACTGCAGGACAGAGCCAACTTCATTCTGACGACCGCTACGACTTCATGCGAACTCCGATTTAGGCGTGCAACTACTTCATGAAAATCTTATCAAGTCTACTTTCAAATGGATCTAGCCTCGTGTCCATATCTATGTTGGAGCGGCCGCAATCATCATTTTACTACCAAGTTCTTATTTGGGTCTAATGGGCCATGTATCGAGTTTGGTCCATTAGGGACGTGTACTAGGGTTAGAACATGACTCCAACACCCCTGTGGTCGTTCTCTCATCTTCTTATACCTTTAGCCGCCACAAAGAACAATTGGGTTTTGTTTACATCAAAGTTTAGCTTTGCTACTTTGCCGTGTAATCCCGTGATTGGTTAGATCGCCGGTTTGTTCGCTGCGGAAGCTCACCTGTGATACTTTTGTTGATTCAATCCTACATCTTTAATTCGCAAATTGAGTTGCTTGTTCATCTTATTCTTGCTAGTTATCGATTGCTTGCAAGAATAAATACCCTCGTGGTTGGGCTGACCATGCATCCGTCGAGATTCATAACCGCCTCTAAGATTGGTGTACGATTGCTAAAGCGCAAATAGTTTTACTCAGATTACTAACGACGTGCACATCAAATGGAGGAGCAAGCAATTTGATCTGCTGGGAATAGATCGATGGAAAAAAATTGTTTGCTCGTTATGTTATCCCATTGCCAAAACGGAATCTCTTGCCGTGGTTCATTTGATAATTTTATAAGTAAATTACAGCTTTCATCCATTTTATAAGTAAATTACAGCTTTAATCCTTTGTATATGCATGCAACTACATGTGTGGTTGACCGTGTGCATTCCCCTTATAATGCAGACACCGGGCGCTGCCCATTACAAATCATTGATAAACATGTGTGGTTGACTGGTAGGTCCAAACATATCAACAAAACAATTTTGCAATTCATTGATAAAATCATTTATTGCTAGTTTTCTGAAACAACTAGCTAAAGTTGCCGTAAATCAATAGTTTTGATAAAACAGTTATAGCTTTCTGAAATTTACTCATACGAAGTTACAAATAGACTATACGGTTTACTGTTTTATTTATTTATTTTATCATGAGGAAACGTATAATGCTTTTATTGTACCCTTCTGCTGTACATCTTTCGCAGTTTCGCTGGCCAGTCCAACTCGAGGCACAAATAACATTCTATTAAAAAAAATCCTTTGCATGATAAATTTTGACACGTATATTATATTAGCTCCCAGGGTTTGACCAATTTGGCCGAGTTACCTCGAGCAAGCCTTGTAAAAATGGCAAATGTCTTTTCCAAAACCTATACAGTCAATCCCTAATCATCACCATCCGTCCAGCTGAAGTTTAGCCTGTCTAGTTGTATATTCTCAAGAACCATCATCTCAAAAGGAAATAAAAAAGGTCCAAATTAAGTAGCTTGTTCTGTGGTCTGGTCAGTTTGTTATATTCGCTGCTGTATCATTTTCACTACAGAAGAACTCTTCAGCCTTGTCCAAGAAAGAAGCTGGGATTTTTCTATGCAACATGAAGTTAGATGAAGTTTCTCCAGCTCTTTGCTTCAGAGGTCCATCATCACCAATTCTTGCTCCTCGGCCGTCTCTTTGGCCCTTATTTCTGCTCAATCTGATGACCCCTGAAACTCCTTTTCCTAAAACTGGCCGTGCACTTTTGCGGTTCGACCTTATTGAGATATCACCTTGCGGGTTTCTTGTATCCAATAAGATCTGTGTATTATCACTGGAACTGTTGGTTCCCCAACCATCCAAAAGAATGGAATCTGAAGCAGCCAGTCCTGGTGTTTTGCATGATTTGATCAAAGAACGAAGCATCTCTGTGCTTATTTCTTGCTGAACTACACTTCTATTCTGGTCACAACCATAACAGACCGCGATAAGAGCAGTAGCCAAGATAGGCATCAACTCCGGGTCACTGAAGAAAACGAAAGGCAAGTCGCACACCTGTTTTTCATCTTAATCAGTTTTGCCCATAGGTCTCTGAAGTTAGGAGAGAAACATGGTTATATAAAACTTTGTTTACCTTGTGAAGTATGGTGGGACTCTTTCCCCACCGAAGAACTGCTTGGTTCCCAGCATGGAACAAAGAGAAGTAACCAAGAAGTAGCAGAGATTCTAGAAGCAGTAAACCAACCTGAAAAAAGAAGCACAAACTCTTATGGTAAATAGAATTATCCACAACTATCCCTGCATGTTTTGCACATTGAACGTGATAGCTGATCATTCAACCACATACTAAAGCATTGCTTTGAGCATCAGTGTGCAAGTTGTCAATAGACCACATTATAAGAATCACATATATAATGGAAAGTGTTTGTCCAATAAGAACGTGCAAATGCTGAATACACATTAAGATTCTTGTTCAAGGACAGGAGCCCATGCATTTATTCTTGACAATCTACACATCAACTAGATTCTAAGGTACCCACTCTATTAGTCTAATGTCACGGATAACAAAGAAATTGTAACCAAGTCCATCCAAGTAATAGCAAACTGTTTGAGATGCATCTTGCTATTGCTATAGTATTGCTATAGTGATAGAAGAATTGATTTACATTAAAATCTGAAACTTGAAATTAAAGTACTATGATACTTAAGGCAACAATGTACCTCGACAAAAAAAAAAGATATTTAAAAGTATCACATATATCATGTCAAGAATGTATGAACCATTTTTTCTGTAAGGAACAGTCTGCACTTTACCTGATCATTTGGCACTCTCCATTTATTCATGCAATGGCTAAGAAGGAAACTGATCAAATGGAAGAACTCCATCTTTAGATCCGATCTAGCCTGAAATTATGAGAAGAGTGAAAACTTATATAGGTGAAAGAACAGAAAGAAACTATCTTCAGAATTCCTATACTGGAAAACCATCAATTTGCCTGACAGCTATGCATGAAACCTTTATGGAAGACTGATTGTGTCCATTGATAACATGGAGACATTTGTTGCTATGCTAAATTCATCTAACAACATCAAGTTATACATGAAGAACAGACAAGCAGACAGCAACAACAATACCAAGCCTTCGATAGTTGGATGCCACCACTTACCAGCATGCATTGAAGAAGGGTGATATCCAAACATGCCATGTTGTTCAGAACTTTCAAAACGCCAGTGGCTACCTCTTCAAAATTCGATGGAAGAATTGCTGAAGCCTGAAAAATGAAGTGCCATTTGCTTCAAAGAGAAGATCCATGAAACAAGTATATATATATTTGGTCTGTGAAAAGAATTCCAGTTTTATCCTTATGTGATTCTTAAAGTCTGAAAGTCACCAAGTAACAGATTTATGTGCATAATGTCATCTGCCATGCTTGTTTATAAATGCATGTGAGCATGTCATTTTGAAACTGAGAACCTTATGCATATCCAAATGCATGTGTGGCTTCTATATAATTCACTTGCAATATGGTAAAATGGTGTTTCATAATGTCTATGAAGTATTGGAGGCAACATAAGCAGCTTTTTTCTTAAATAAAAACAACATTTTTTCCACACAAAGCATTGGATGTAAATAGAGAAGAAAGACAAACCTGTTCTGATGATGATCTGTTGTTGGCCTGGAGCAACACAGCTGTCAAAAGAGAAGGCAGACTAACAAGGCCTGTCTCTGCCATAGCAGAAAGTACAAGCACTACAGGTTGATTTAGGTTTATTTCATTGTCTTTTCCAGGACTATCATGCAAACATGTAGTACTCCCCTTTTTTCTTTCAAGGGTGCCATCTGCAGCATCTCCCTGGCAGGGAATTACAGAGTGTACCTCTAGTGTATCAGATGACTGCATTTCTGGCATGGACCCTGAGTCTTTGCTAGCTTCATAAACTGACATGTTGTCCCCTGGAATGTTGAATTTATGATGATCCAAGGACTTATTTTCTTTGATCAATTCGCTAGGATCGCATTCATCACATTTCAATAGATCAGACTTGGTAGATGGCAATTTGACATCTCCAGATTGATCAGATATCATCAACTGGTTGCCCATACCTATGTCTTGTGAACAAAGATATTCATATTCTTGAACTAGATTACCCGCTAGAGTTCTGCATTTGCAGGACTCCCAATCAATGGTAGAGAAATTTCCAGGTTTAGATGTTAAGACGGCCAGAAGGTTGAGACCAAATAGTATGGATGATGGTAATGGGGATCCTTCCACCTGGGGCCTGTCATAAAGGGCAAAAAGATCTCGCAGGCGATGAATTATTTGATAAGCCACAATCAGTTCTATCAACCCCCCTTGCATTTGAAGCTGTTGGTCATTGAGATATACGTGGCCAACAATTACGGTCACTGTCCAAAAAAATCCATCTAACACTTCACCTACTGACTCCATGTATTCAGTTGATGTTTTGCTTGACTGAATGTTCGAACTTCCAGAGTTTGATGCTGCAACCTTTATGTAATTCTCTAGAGATACCGATAACATGGGAATAATCGGAGGTAAAAGATTTTGTACAAGAAAATAAGTTCGATTGGCTGGAAGCGAGAGCAACACTCTCAACAGTCGTAGTAGGTAGACAGTGACTTGACAAGCTCCAGGCCTTGAAGTGTGAGAGGCAGGTAAAGCAGATGCAATAAAATCAAGCAAGCCAACTTGTCTAGATGCATGTAATTCAAGATCCTTTCCTTCTAAATACTGTGCCAAAATAAAAAGAAAGTGGTATTAGTAAACATCTTTATTACAACACAATATGGAACAAACAAGAAGTACCTTTGTCATGTCACTAACAATCAAACCAATACTCGCAGCACCCTCTTTTCTAGCTTGACGAAGTCTTTGCAAGTCCTGAAGCCATCTACTTAACTTAGCTTTTGCAGTACCTAGAGCAGACCTGTGCACAATTCCTGTATTTTCGCCTATGAGTGGTTCAACAAAATCATGCTTAAGAGCCATTAACCTCTGGCGTATCTTTTTAATCCTTCGTTTCATTTGCGTGGAATTGAATGATTTAACACCAGACTCAGCAGCGTTGGCACTGCTTATTATTTGTGAATCTTCTCCACTATTAGCTGAGCTAGAACGATTTTGGTTATCTTTACTTGGAAAGCGGCGCTGAAAAGGTGAAGGCTGATCCCTGAAATCCATTGAAGCTCTCTCACGTATCTGCTCAAGGTAATACTTACGGCGCTGCTCACTTTCACGAAGCTTCTCTGCTAATTTTTGGGCTAACAGTTCAGCCTCTTCTTGTTGAGCTTTTGCTCTTATCTCTTTTCTACGTTGCTGCTCTGCAGCCCTCGCTTCTCGTGCAGCACTAGATGCTTTGCGCTCCTCTTCTCTTCTAATAATAGCTTCTTCTTTCTTACGCTGTATTTCAGCAAGACGTTGCATCTTCTCAGCTTCAAGAATTTTTCTCCGTTCCAATACAGCTTCTTCCCTTGCAATGTCCTCCTTTTGCTTTGTTTTGATCACCAGTAGCTTTTCAGCTCTCCGCATTTCAGAACCATGAAGTTTCTGCCTCAGTAAGAATTTCTTGTTTTCTTCATTTAGTGATGTAATAAAACGGACCTCATTGACCTTAGTACTCTCATCACCAGCTCTTTTTGCAACCTGGGCAAGGTATGCCTCATGACGAGATTCACTACGTTGGTGGCGTGCATTCATTACTTCTCGCAGTTTTGAGCTGCGCACAGCCTGCCATTCATTGACACGATTTAACTTTTCAGAGGTACGTTGCAGCCTCTGAACTCTCTCACTTTCTAGTTGACTCCGGATTCGTAAAGCTCGTGCATGTTTTTCTTCTGCTTCCTTTTTCATGTCCAAAGCACTTCTTTTCTTCTTTTCAGGAGACATTAACTTGTCATGTAGAACACGAGCACGCTCTGGTACTTTTCTGCCAACACCAGGGGAATGGGAGACACGAGAACTCCGAACAGGAGATTTCAGTATATCTTCCCAGTTTCTTTTCTCTTTCCAGGCATCCAATGACTTCCGTGGTGCTGCATTTTGTTTCTCCTTCTCAGTATGAACTGTAGTCCTTTTTGCCGTATCTGTTGACCTGAGCTTGTCAAATTTGTTTTCTGGCAATTCCTTATCCTTCCTAAAATTATGCTTCTCTACCTCAGAGATAGGTTCCAGTGATCCTTTTCGACTCTTTGCAGAAGATGAAGGCATATTTTGTGGAGGTGATCTACCTGACTTGATTGTATCCTTGCTTTGCCTCTCTCCAGCAATTTTTTTCTCAGTGTCAGAAAGTTTCACCTGACTCTCCACTTTCAAACTTATACTTCCAACAGTCGCTGATGCTGTGGTTAGCTTTGATGAGCTACCAGAAACTTCTCCAGAAGAGCTGGATGCAAAGCTCTCTGTTGTTATACCAGCTTGTTTGCGAGCCAGTTCCAATTGAATTCTCTGAAATGCCTCTAGAGATGAAGACAATATCTCTTGCCTGTGTGGTGAACTTGTCATCCTTCTGACCTGCATATATGATTTAATCAAAAAGGGTTTTGTTAACTCTTTTAGCACTGTGAGATACTCCCCAAGTTGATTTCTAGCATTCAAAATTTGTCTAAAAAAGGGTTGATTTCTAACCATCCTTGGTCCAGAAATCGAGAAGTATTAATGAGTCTTATCTCTTCAATACCCCTTACTACATTCCTATTAATGAGGGGCACGTCTTTTTCCCTACTAATCTGTCTTGGAATTGCTAGTAGAAATCAACTCTTTTGGAGACGTAGTAGATTTGCATTCCATGAAAAGTGTTTTGTGGCAATTAACCAGGTTATTTTAACAACTATTAATTCAATAAAGGGTCCAAGTCCAGAAACTCGTCATGATATATGTAATCGTTCAATTCTTGATAAGTACATAGGCTTGTGGACAGAGAATAATATGTGCACACTATGAGTTGTTCAATGATCATAAAACTACGCTAAAACTTGGAGCAATTGAAATGAAATTCTGCATACAAGTCATGTAAGAAAATATTTCATAATTTTGCGTATTATGAGAATACGGACCTCCCAAGACAAGGCATGTGGTCTTCGATGGTCAGCTTTCACAGCCATTGGCATCCCCTCCTTTGGTAGAGCAGTAGATTTTTTGGTGTTATCAAAATGCTCCGCCCTGGATTTCAGTTCTTGAAAATCAGATATAGCTTCTTCAAGAACAAGGATGGATTCATTAATTTGCTCCATGTCACATTCTAACTCACAGAGGAGGTAAAGTTCATCCACAGCCCTATTCAGATTCTCAAAAAGAAAACACCAGAGTCTCTGCCTGAACCTTTCTTTGCTTCCAGCAGTTTCACCTCCAAAATCTGCTGAAGTTGGTGCATGAAGAACTGTCTGGCTTTCTGTTGAAGCAACAGAAGACGACTTAACTGGAACTTCAAGATCATTGTTTGCACAGGACAAGGAGACTGTGTCGTCCAAGGAAGGTGAACCACTAACATCCAAACGATTATCTGTTATTTCACATATATCCAATACCTTGCTCTCATCTTCAGTGGGCGTTTCTGCCCCTTGAATAATAACAGGAGATGTCTCAACAATTGTTTTACAAGAATTCGGCTCAGTTTTAAGTTCACTTTCATCTTTACATTCATTTATGAATTCTGTAGCATCGCCAATGTGTATGTGTTTTTGAGATGAACTATTATTTCTACATGCATCTGCAGGTAATGCTAGACCTGGCACTTCATCAAAATCACCAAACCTGACAGAAGTGTTCGATAAAACACCTATACTATCTGTCATTGGAGGGCCTTTAACATGATCATAAAAACCTGAAGATTTTGCAAGACCACTTGAACAGTTGGAGGATTGATGTGGAGTTGGAGAATCAGCACAGTCAATCTTACCAACGTTGGGAGGTTCACTTATTTCTTCAGTCACTAGCAGTTTTTTAGGTTTTTCTATTGCATGATCCGAGGCTGAAACACTTAATTCACTCTTCAGATTGCTAGCATCTGCATGAGCACATTCTTCACCATGAACAACCATTGTGACTACGCTACCCGGTTCATTAACGCAAACATTAACCTTTGTGATCTGAGGTGAGCATTGTAACCTGTCACACCACTTTGCACTATCACTGCCAAAGTTGGTCTGAGATTGTGAGGACGAGTTTGAAATTTTATTATCATTGGAACCTCCTGAAGACCTCTGCAATGTGAATTTTGAGCTGGATCGGTGTTTCTGTTGAATAGATTTGTAATAAGTTAGGAACAGAAGCACTAAGAGTTCTTCTGGCATAATAGAGCATCAAATGAGAGCATGATCCAAGTCTCTGAGCAAAATGCAAACAAAAAATATAAAATGTTTGATGAAATATGGTATTAACTTGATGATCCAGAAAAAATGCTTCTGAAAGAGCCAATAATCTTCAAGCAACTTAGAGCTGTTTACAGGGTATACCTTCGCTATGTAAGTCTATGTGTGTGCAAGATAGTACTGGTTAATAGCTATCATCCTGGACAGAATGGAATATGGCCAAAATATATCACTGAATACATGCCCTTTTGCTATGCATAAATAACACAGAAACTCCTACCACAACATCTGTTTGGTTCAATCTAGGTATTCTTCTAACATTTGATTTATAAACAGGTGTTAAATTGATTATTATCACTCTCGGCCAAGCTATTGCATCTGTTTATCTAGAAATGACTGTCTTGTTGCATGGATCAAACTCACACCCCTTAAGGCCTTAACCTTGCATTTAACAATAAGGCGATTGTGGGAACATATTGTTAGAGTTTGTGTCGAATATATGTACAAAGTCAGTTCCAGTTTAGGACTTGGAATTGTAATAGGTGTTAGGACTAGAGTAAGAGTCAGACTCTATCCTAGGCTCTCTCATAAATAGAGGGGCGTGCCTATTGTAACCGCATGACGACTTAGCATAGCGAGAGGGAGCGGCTGCCGGCAGCGACCAGTCGTGAGTCGTTGTAACTCTGATACGCTGTAATATGCTGGATTGGGGAGGAGCGTCCGTAATCAGTGCTCCGGAGATGTAGGCTACGGCTGAACTCCGTTATCAAATATCGTGTCTCGGTGTCATCATCATATTTGGATCTCCTATGGTGTTTTCTTCCGCGGTTTGGTTTCCGATGTGATTTCGGGGCCGGTTTTATAACACATATAATGGGGAAAACACCACAATCATTCGATGCATTATAATTGAACAGAGAGAACTCCTTACTTTTTTCACTTCAAGCCACCCTGATCCCACATCATCTAGATCTCCATGATCATTCTCCATTACCACCAATAAATCTTCAGTGGTTCCTCATGCATTCCTGCTTTTTCATACAGATACGGCAGTTAATTATACCAGGAAATGTACCAGCTAAAATATTTTTTTAAGTGTACAGTGTGCTGAGGGATTAAAAAAATCACAGATTTTTCAAGAAAACAACTATAATCTATAGGTACTGAAATCCTCACTAAAACCCTGACACTTAACTGCAACATAAAACATAGCAAAATAGTGCAGAAGATTTTGCCAACGATGCATATCCAGACAAAATAAATAAATAAATCCAAAACCATCAAAGGAATTGGACGAAATGTAGACAAACTAAAACGTGGGGCTACTTAAGTTCCGGATCCCTTCGCAGCTGGTCTCCGAATTTCCAATCTAAAATTCCAAAATGACTCCTGCCACTCACCGTCACTGGCATTCACTACAATCAACCAAGGATCGAACAACTAAAAAAAGCAAGAACATTCCATTCCTCTCGTGCTAACATGTCAACAACAAGGTTGTTGGTTGGACCAATTTCCGGCGCAAATTTGTACGATTTGGGGGTAAGAAGAGAGGCCCCGCTCCCTCCCTTCTCCCTGCCCATCCATCCCAATTCCCAATCTACACCGCGCCCGCCTGCCTCGCGCAAAGTGGGCGGAGGAGGACGAATACCTTCAATCCGATCCGAACCGAGACGGAAGGATGTCGTCGGCGGCGTCGCCCCTCCAGACCTGCCTGCTCCCCCGACGCGCGCGCGAGGAGGCCACGCCGCTCATGAGGGGAGGATGGCCTTCCCCGCCGCCGCCGCCGCCCTTCTCGCCGCCGGCCGCGCGCGCGAGGAGTCGGGGAGCCACGTCTCCGGCTCGCCGCAGTTTTTTTTTTTCTTTTTTTTTCCTTTTTTTTTCGTTTTAGGGAGGCTAGTGGAGACTGCGGGTTGGGAGAGAGTGAGAGAGGCGTGGGGAAGTCAGGGTGAGGGGCATTTCGGTCATTTTAGGCTGAGGGTGACTGGCTTCCAGGTGGCGGATGACGAAGACGAGGCGGTCCAGCGCGGCGACGGTGCTCCGGCGACCGGCGGCGGTGACGTGAGGGCGGTAGGGAATCCAGAACCTCCGTAGTAATGCAAAGGTGCACTCTTCATGTGGGGAGCACAATAAATCAATGCGTGTGAACAGTGTCAATTCAGTGTAGCAACCGTAACGAAAACGTTGTAGAACACTACAGAGTACTGTAGCATAGTTACCGTAGTGCACGATTTGATCTTGATCGGACGGTCTCCATTGCTCCTAATGCTGAGTATACCTATTCGGGCAGTGGGAGCGCTCGATGATGTTAGGTCAAGTGCTACTCGTGTCGGCGAGGATTAGGAGCAGTGTCACTTCCTCAAAGTTGATTTGGGTTGGGATTTGATTACGAGCTAACCGGTTCCAGCTCACTTACGGTTTGTTAGAGCTTAGCTCCAACTTCATCTCTCCTAAAGTTAGAGCCCATTTATTTCAGCTCCACCATAAAAGAAAAAAATGAAACGGTTAAGTGTTCTCACAAAATGAACTGGAGAAATGGAGCTGGATTTAGGCTGCTCCACAACTCCACTTTAAACTGAACTCTTGGTGTTAAATCTCGAAATTGAAGTACTCTCAAACATGCTCTCAATCCAATCGGATACACTCCCTTGGCATCAAAATACATGATTTTTAAAATAAAGAATAAATATTATAAAAAACCCCTATGTCTCAAGGCGTTCCTATCACAAAACTACATGTTAAGTACTTCCTCTATTTCAGGTTATAAAACTTTCTAACACTGCCCATATTCATATAGATATTAATGAATCTATGTGTCATCTATATGAATATGGGCAATGCTAACAAGTCTTATAACCTGAAACAGAGGTAGTAAATTTTATCATACGCACTTCCTTGCCCCTTCCGCAAGGACGAAGTATTGACACCGATATAGCCCATCCCCTCCACTTCTCTGTCATAGCCAACCGTGTAATACATAACTTCAATATCTAAGTATTAACCAGAACTAAAATATGCAGGATAAACCTTAACCAATAGGTTTATCTAGGTTTTCTAAAATATGACTATTTTTTACTATAAACTTAGATAATATTTTTAGTTACAAATCTAGTAGTAATAGAAAGGAGTATATAAATTTTTTTACGGGAGGATGGTATAACCTTCAGCGAACAACACAAAGAAGGTTAGTTAGAGGCAGGACTAAAGTTGCAATCATGTTCCTTCCGTGTTTTCATACTCAAAGTCTCAAACCCAGCAGTTAGCAACTTCCATTTCTAAACAATGCGCTGGTCAGCAAGAAAAAAAATTACAGATATCCATTGATAAAGAACACAGGAGCATCAAAACCAACACCGCTTGATGGCATGGCATGTCTGATTGTCTGTGGCCATTTGCGACCAGTTGTACCCAACCAACAGCCGCTCCAAAGAATCAACAGACGTTGGTCACTGCTCATCCAGAGACAAACCCCTGTTAGTAATATAAAAATTGTTTCTTTTTCTTTTTCTTTTTTACTCCCCAATCCCCCTTCTTCCTCCTTGATCCCTTTCTTCTCCCCATCCCTCTTTGCCATGGTTTCCGCATCTTGAGCTGAGCAGAGCACAGCTTGTACCTGCAGCCAGCCATGGTGACCACCAATTTCGTGCAGAACCACCACCTTCAGAACAGCCAGTTCTTCCTGCTCCCCAAGAGGCAGCTTGTGACCTACGCCCTCTACGCTCTCATCCCTCTCGCCCTCCTCCATTACCTTCTCTTCAACCCTGTGGCCACTGCCAAGAAGCCGGTGGTGGTGGTGGTTCAGGCGACAGACGATGCTTCGGTCATCGCCTCGTCTCATCACGAGCATGTCAAGGTGAATGCCAAGCAGCTGCCTGTGCCCCCTTCTGACCAAGGAGATGAAGGGTTCAAGAAGAATGCGATAGGTGAGATATTGGGATCTCTTGTCGATTTCGAGTACCTAGGATTTTTTTTTCCATGATGAGATTTGTCTGCCCCGATTGGTTTTCTCCATTTCTTGATGTTTTTGGATTATCGGATTCTGGGCATTAGATTTGTGATGTTTCTTGTGCAGATTTTAGCATGTATGAACAGATTTGAGTTCTTGGGGATTTAATTGGGGGAGGGAAGGGCATCCTTTTGGGCTAATCTTTGCATCTTGTGTTGGATCCGAGCAGCCGGAGAAGTGGCGGCGGCGGCGGCGTGCGACTACTCCGACGGCGAGTGGGTGCCGGACGCGCGGCCGCCTCTCTACAACGGGACGAGCTGCGCCACGATCAAGGATGGGCAGAACTGCATGGCGCACGGCCGGCCGGACACCGGCTACCTCCACTGGCGGTGGCGGCCGCGGCGGTGCGACCTCCCGGCGTTCTCGCCGGAGGCGTTCCTCGGCTGGCTCCGCGGCAAGCACCTCGCGTTCGTCGGCGACTCGCTGGCGCGCAACCAGGCGGAGTCGCTGGTGTGCCTCCTGGCGTCCCGCTCCACGCCGGAGCTCGTGCACCGCGACGGCGAGGAGAACAGGTTCCGGCGGTGGGCGTTCCGGGAGCACGACGCCACCGTGTCCATCTTCTGGTCGCCGTTCCTCGTCAAGGCCGCGGAGAAGGCGGAGCGCGCCGGCGTGCGGCACAACAACGTGTTCCTGGACGCGTTCGACGAGCGGTGGATGTCCGGGCTGGGGGGCCTCGACGCCGTCGTGCTCTCCATCGGGCACTGGTTCCTGATCCCGGGCATCTACCACGACGCCGGCGAGGTCGTCGGCTGCCACGACTGCGCCGAGTTCAACCACACCGAGACCCCCTTCTTCGCCGTGTTCAGGCAGGCGGTCCACCGGACGCTCGCCGAGATCACCCGGCGCCACGTCCTCGCCGCCGGCGCGGGCACGAGCAAGAGCAAGAGCAAGGTGGTGGCGTTCACGACGTTCTCGCCGGCGCACTTCGAGGGGGAGTGGGACAAGGCCGGCGCGTGCAACAAGACGCGGCCGTACAAGAACGGCGAGAAGGAGGCCGGGTACACGGAGGCGGAGATGCGCAAGACCGTCGTGGAAGAGGTCGCCGCCGCCGACGCCGCCGCGGCCGGCGGCGGCGGCGCGGGCCTGCGGTTCGCGGCGCTGGACGTGACGACGCTGGCCAACCTGCGGCCCGACGGGCACCCGGGCCCGTACATGCGCGGCGACCCGTTCGCCGGCGGCGGCGGCGGCGCGCGGGTGCAGAACGACTGCGTGCACTGGTGCCTCCCCGGCGCCATCGACACGTTCAACGAGATTCTGCTCCAGACCATCACCAGATGACGACGTTGATAAGATGAATCGTTTCGTCTCGTTTACGAGATCATACGAGTAGATAGTGCGAATTCCGCGGTAAAAATGGTTTGGTTTAGATCTCAGTGATTTTTGGGTGTCGCCTTTGATGTAGCTGTAATTGTTAGAGCATATACAATAGCAGGCTATAAGTCCGTTATAAACATAAGTCCGTTATAAACATATTTTAAAGAGATATATGAAAAGATAGGAGAGCAGCGGGCTACAGATCTGTAGCCAGCTGCAGCATGGGAATTGGCTATTACATTGGTTATAGATGATTTGGAGTTAGTAGTGTGCTATACTATTAAACTTGCTCTAAACTGCTCCATTTTAAATCTGAACTACTCCCACTGAACTGAACTGTACTACTGTCATCAATACAACGGGATTACGGGATCGTCGGTGGCGTTTGATCTTACGATCACGTGTGAACAAATCGTGCATTTGATTTTTCGTGGACACTGCTACTCGATCACTTGCTTGATTTGAAAATAAATGCAGACGTTCATGAGCCGTGTACATCGTCTATCATTTTAAAAAATAAATAATTAGTCCTAAATATGAGCATCAGGATTAAGTACAGGACTTTGCGTTCACATGTTGATCCTGATCTGGTGTGCAAGTAGCAGTCAGGCAAGTAGCAGTCAGGTTTCCCAAACCGCCGGGTCTGGGGTTACCGCGCCCCGACGGTAAGCGTGGTAACCGTAAAAAACCGTACAAAATCGTGTAAAATTTATCAAAAATTCAAATTATTTTTTAAATTTATTTAAATTTAAGAAGATTACCGCGGTATTTATATTACCATACCTCCGCGGTAAGACCGGTAACCGCACGGTAACGTCAACCCTGGTAGCAGTCAATCTACCATACAATCTGGTTGGTGTGTCGCAAGTGGGCTGTCGGCTCCGTGGATCTGTCTGTGCTTAGCCTCCGGCGGAAGTTGTGCCTTGATTGTCTCTGCTTCTTAGACAAGAGTGGTGGCCACTTTGACCTTTGAGTGTGTTGTTTGCTGTCCCTTTGATACCCACTCGATAGCAGCAGCAGGCCAGCAGCCAGCAGCATATCTGCATATGGCGTCGAGAACAATTGGCTCGTCTTCCGGCGAGGGAGTACCATGCAGGCCGGCCGGAGCGGTGAACCGGGAAATTTCCGGCCTCCGACACTAGGGCGGCGGTGAGGCCAGCCATGCCGTCTCGCCTCGCCTCGCCGCGTCATGGTCACGGCACGAACGATGGCGTCGGCTGCCGTACGTGTGCCACGACGTGCTGGGCTGCTGGCATGGTATGGTAAGGGTCTCTTTAAATCATTTAAATCATATGAATGAAATAAAAAACATGATTATAGAAATGCAAATGTAAAACAGAGAATTACAAAACACAAGAAAAACATACGAATAATTGTTTGATTGGGTCGCAGGAAACACGCAGTGAGAGATAGACTCAAAGGATTTTTCTAAGAGGTTGGACCTCTTACTAAATTTTCTCCAAAATCTACGTGCAATGAGCTATTCCATAGGATTTGTATAGGATTTGGAAAACTCCAACCCTTTGAATCAAATAGCCAAATAGAAAAATTTCTTATAGGATTTCAATCCTATGAAGGTTAATTCAGGACGTCTTGTTTCATGGTTGTTTTGGACCACCGAAAACAACATGGTTTTCAGAGACAAAATGGTTTACTCTCCACTGATCCTGCCTTTCCAAATCATTTTCTTTTTGTTGCAGTGAAAAGCCTATGTCGTTCTGAGGAGACTTTTGCTGATGGAGACGATGACTGAGAAGTTAAAAGTGACAACAAGTGCTCTTGGTGCTCAGAGAACCGGTGTTGGATGATGATATGCCTTGTTTTAGCTTGTCATAGTATCTTTTGTCGGTGACTTTTTTCTGCTCATGGCCTTTTGTGTGTTGGCTGTTAGTCTCACTGTAATAGATGTGTGTTTGAGCCTTTGATATGTAAAATGGGTATCCCCGTAAGGCCATAAACTTGTTTCGACATTTTGCTTTCAATATAAGCAGGGCTGTGAGGCCTTTTCTTTAAAAAAAAATTTCAGGATGTCCCACTTGTTTTACTTCTTTTCATCAAAATGGCACAATTATATTAGGTTTATTCAGCAGATGCTGACAAATTGGGCCACCATTTGAGTAGGAACTTAAAAGTCTTATACGATGATCAAACAATCCAAATGACCCAAAATTATACGGTTGGACCTTAAGTGGGACCCTGAGTTGGGCAAATCAAGTTATTGAGATTCGAATTTGCTACATACTAACAGTCATGTGACTGTTTTTCTTTTTCCAAGACCTGTGGAAAACAATCCTTTCGGCATCAAACACTCCAAAGAAACCACTCAAGTCGTTGGTGATATTCTAGTTGCCTGGGAGATTTGGAAAAAAAAAAACTCGCGCCTGTTTAGAAGCCTAGCAAACACCCCTGAGACCATCGTTTACGCATCGTATGGGTTGGTTTTGTTATAAAAAATATATCAAATGAATATAATTATAATGTGATTACACTATAATTACAATATTATTATATTATAACCATACTTAGTGTGATTTTTACTCGAGTGATATAGTTAGTCCAATTGAGACTTGATGTGCCACTATTAGATTTGTGCAGCCAGACACGATTATGGTAGGAAAGAAGGTGTTACAAATAAAGTTGCTTAAAAATTTTGGCTAAAGAACAAGAAATACACATGAAATCCATTAAAGTTGTGCCTTTGAGAGAGTGCACGACCACTTAAGATCTTGCCAATGCGCTCAGAGTAAAGAATATCACACCTCATAAGCATTTTAAGGAAGATAAATTTCGTCATTGCATTGACTTTTATAAAGTTTGCATTGACTAATGAGAACTAGAAGGCTCCATGTTGAGTACGGAAGAAGCTCCTCTAACATGCTGATCAGTCACTTAAAATTAGAGAACATCAAGTCCGAGGATTTGTTTCCGTTGAGTACTGCTTGTCCATGTTCATACCGAATTCGCTACTTACAATTTACAAATTAGTGTACAACGTTGTGTGCCCGTGTCACTAACGCCAGCCCCACCGGCCAGCTCCAGCGTTGTGCCTCTCCGCTCCATCATTGGAGTATATGCAAACGACAAACGTTCTTAGGTTGTGCTCGAAGGTAGAGGTTGAGAACTCCACCTCATCACATGTAAAAGGAGTGATTTGTTAGTACATAATTAATTAATTATTAACTAAAATAAGTTTGAAAAATGGATTAATACATTTTTCTTAAAAGTAATTTTCCTAGATATAGAACTCTTGCAAAAGACACACTGTTTAACAGTGTGTGAAAAATAAGAGAGTAGAAGTTGGAAAAAGGAGTGGCCAAACACAACCTTAGACATTAATATGGGGACGACCGACATTAAAGTTATTAGGTGATGATAAAATAAGGATGGAAGAAGTATCATGATCTTTAAAGATTGGTACTTTATAAAAAAGTGACATTGCACATTATACCACCAAAATAAGTCTAATACATAATTAATATAATAAAAAAGTCATCTCCACTTCAAACTGCCGCAATAGTTTTTCTTGTTTTAAACAGTCAACTACCGTAGAAATGATGGGTAGTAAAAGGACCCAGAGGAGAGGCCGATGGATCAAATTTGAGGATTATTAGCCCTAACATTTATGAGTCTACTAATTTAAGAGAAATTTGAGAATAAAATGTTTACTTTTCTCATAGAGTTTCTATGTATTTTAGTTGATTAGAGGTGACACATGGTGATTTAAAAGCTGGTGATTTAAAAGCGTTCCACAAGATGTTCAATGGGCTTTCTTTTTTTATGTTACGTTTGTATCTTATGTAGTTCATCTATCTCTAAGAGTTTTAGCTAGGTACGTAAAGAGAGATTAGCCAGATGTTAAAATATTATCATGCCCTCCATTAATATGGAGAGAAAATATCGAGGAGAAGAAGCGAGTACTGCTCGTTTAATTTGATGATTAAGAATAAATGATAAAGTAGTATTAAAGGGGTCTAGTGGATTCCTCTAAAATTCATGTTTAGTAAATTAATTATTAGCCTACAACTAACGGTGGGAATATGTTTTTTCCTACTTAGTTTTTTTTTCTTTTGTGAATAGTACGTACGTACGTGTTTTTCTGTTGTACGTCCACGTACTGGAAAGGAGGGATTATCTTTTATAATAGATTTATAATTTAATGGTTTAAAAAAAGGTTCACCGATTTAAGTGTATATAAAGGCTAAGATGTTCTGATTTAAAAAAAAAGAATTTCTAAGCTTTTTCATAATTTATTAGGATGACGTAGTGACTCAAGGGCATTTCAGAGGATATTTGATAGACATTTTATCATACCGTATATATGTATATATATTTATAGACTATATATTAGCTTACATGTGTATATATATTCATATGTGCTCCCTCCAATTTAAAATATAAGCATTTCTACTATTTTTTTAAAAAATATTTATACGTATTTTTTAAGGCTTCTCTCTCTTTTTTTTCCTCTCGCGAATAGTACATATACGCACTGCACTTTTCTCCAGTAAGTCACGTACATGAGATATCTCGTAAGTACACATACATGAGATCAGGAGACTTTTTAAAATGATATAATGGTCCAAAATAATGGTTTCACTGATTTTAGGTGAAAACCTAGAGCTAAAAATTTTACATCTAATAGAATTTTAATCTTTTATTTTAATTCATTTAATGTGACACGTGGCGACTTAAAATGCTTCAGAGAATGTTTAATGAACCATTTTCAACCGTTCATATGTAATCTCTCTTTTATAAGATTATCATTTCTGCATGTTTTTTTGAATGCATATGGACATCCCTCCGTCAACATATATTTTAAGAAACAAGAGAAAATGATTATATTTTAGAATGAAAGTGGCTTTTCTTTTGCATTTCTTTCTCTCTTTTTCAGGCAAACAGTACGCGTGTATTTTTCTTTTGTAATCATACGTACTGAAGATAAGGGAGAGATTATTTTTAAAATAAAATCTGATAGTCTAAAATAACGTATCATCAATTTAAGTGAAAAATCATGAGCTATATATTTTGTTTTTTTCTCATTTAATTTCTAATCTTTTTTCTAATCTATTAGAGGTGACACACTGTGAGTTAAGAGTGTTCCGTTTAGTGGAATTTTAGTATACAACCGAAAAAAATAGAAAGATGGATGATAGATAATGATATGATTATTGCTTCACACAAACCAGTGGATTAGATTTGACACAAATATTAGGGATACTTTGGCCACTCGAAATCGTTACTGTACTTCAATCAGCCAGTTTAATCACTTCCTCTCTACTTCAGATGTTAATCCCCTTTATGTTCGATTAAGCAATAATGCTGTGCTTTCCAGGTTACACTCCATCCATCTCCTCTCTACATGTAGTACAAACTATCTGAAGTCACCACTCCCACCTGTTCGACGCCGTACGACGTCGTCGTCCTCGTCGTACGCGCTAGCTATGGCCGCGCGCGAGCCACCGCGTCAAGGCCATGGCGCCACCCGGCTGTCGTGCCCAACTCCGGCGACCACCACCACCACCACCACCAGCAACCTTTGCAGCTTCCTCAACAGAGCCATCTCCGCTTGGCTCGTCTGCGCCGTGCTCAGCTTGTTTCTCTTCAACCTCCTCTGGTTTTACCCTGTCGACGCGCCGTGGAACGTCGTCATTTCCGGCGAAGGTAAGCGTCCATCCATGGCGATGGCAGGAGGAGGAGGGGAGGAGGCTAGGTGCGACTACTCGGAAGGGCGGTGGGTGGCGGCGCCGGGGCGCGCGCGGCGGTACAACGGCACGGCGTGCAACGTGAAGGAGAGCGAGCGGTGCGTCGGGAACGGGCGGCCGGACACGGGCTACCTGGACTGGCGGTGGCAGCCGGCGTCGTGCGAGCTCCCGGCGTTCGACGTGGCGGCGTTCGTGGGCGCGGCGCGCGGGAAGCACGTCGCGTTCGTCGGCGACTCGATGGCGCGCAACCAGGCGGAGTCGCTCGTCTGCCTCCTCGCCACGGCGTTCCCGTACACCCTCGTGTACCGCGACCCGCACCCGCGGGAGCGCAAGTTCTGGCGCTGGGCGTTCCCGGCGCACAACGTGACGGTGTCCGTCTACTGGGCGCCGTTCCTCGCCAGGTCCACCGGCAAGACGGACGACTACCGGAAGCCGCGCAACGACGTCTACCTCGGCGCGCTCGCCGAGCGGTGGTCGGCCGACGCCGACACGATGGACGTGGTGGTGATCAGCCAGGGGCACTGGTTCTGGATCCCGACCGTCTACCACGACGCCGCCACGGGCGAGGTGGTTGGCATGCACAACGTCACCGGGCTCAAGAACACCGGCGACATCGGCCTCTTCGCGCCGTACAGGAGGACTCTGCGGATGGCGCTGGAGCGGCTCGTCAGCTCCGGCGCCGGCAACCGCACCCGCGCCCGCACCGTGGTGGTGGCCACGTTCTCGCCGTCGCACTTCGAGAAGGCGTGGGACGACCCCACGACGTGCGCGAGGACGCGGCCGTACGACGACGGGGAGAAGGAGGTGGACGCCGACGAGAGGGAGCTCCGGAGCATCGCCATGGAGGAGGTGGCCGCCGCCGCCGCTCGCCGTGGCGCCGCCGCTGGCGGCGGCGAGAGCAGGGTGGAGGTGCTCGACGTGACGAAGCTGGCGACGATGCGGCCGGACGGGCACCCGGGGGTGTACATGCACCGCGACCCGTTCGCGCGCGGCGTGCCGAAGCGGCTGCAGGTGGACTGCCTCCACTTCTGCCTGCCTGGGCCGGTGGACACGTTCAACGAGATCTTGCTGCAGCTACTGATCAGCAAGAGGCGGTGACGATAAACCGGAGTACTAGCGTGTGCGTGCATGCAAGGCAAATATGAACAACTAACTTGAGATTTGAGATACAAGTCTGATGATATTAAGTTCCATTTGTATTACAAAGTTATGTACATGTAAACTATGTTTCAAACTTATGCCACGGCAATCAAAACCGATCTCAATATTATATTAGGAGTTGAGAATACATTTGTACTGGTTTTAAAAGATGAGGGTTACGTTGTATCCGTTGTTTTACGGTTGAGCAACATGATTGCAAACTCAACCATTATGTTATTAGGAATGTAAAGTGGACTTTTTCCCTTAAACTTAAGGTATATTCTCTGCCAGAAATACACTTTTTCGGCCCAAAAGTAGGGTGTCAATCCGTACCAAAATGCGGTCGTGAAATGCGCGTGAGTTGAGCCCACAGGCCACAGATGGTCGTGAATTTGGTCCAAAGCTTAGCCTGAATTCAGCCCTACGTTCTTCTAAATTCAGCCCAAAAGTGTGAGCGATCTCAGCTCTCAACTGTGCACGCGAATGCGGCCCAAAGATCCGCGTAAATTAAGCCCAAACGTTCGGCGGGTTGGACCATATTTGAGGCCGAGAAATGTGCGAAAATTCGGCTTTTAAGTATGGAAATTCCGGCCCAGTGGGCGTTAATTCAGCCTATATCTTTAAGGAAATTTAGCCCACGTGAAAAGAACGAAGTATGTGCGCCAGTCCGCCAGATATCATCATCGCAAGTGGGCCGACATGTCATTGGGCTGAGGCCTTTATTTCTGCCCATTGAGCGTGGAACATGTCCCAGCTAAAATTCTTCACTACTTCAAACGTACACTAGGTGAAACCCCACGTGTTGCTGTGAGAGTTTTGTATAGTATTAATAAAAATAACATGCAACATAGATACATTATGTACACTTTTCATCTTTGATCAACTATTGAGAAAAAAACTATAAACAATTAAGATAATATGGATTATGAAAATTAAAATCATATGTGGATTGATCATTCAAAAACAAAAGTAAGGTAACGTGGCTTCATGAGAGAGGAAAAAAAGAACGTAATATAGATCAATTATTTAAAGAGAAAACTAAGGCGATATGATTTTATAAGAGAAAAAAGGAGGAGGATAATTTAGACCATAAATCAATCATGTAAGGAAGGAATAATTGAGATGATGTGACTTAATGATAGAAGAGAAAAAATAACATTAACTATATATAGTGGTGATAAACTATATAGATATTCGCTCAGTTTCATATTATAAGTTGTTTGATTTTTTTCTTAGTCAAAATATCTTTATGTTTGACCAAGTTTATAGAAAAATAATAGCAATTGCTACAATACCAAATTACTTTCATTAAATTTAACTTTGAATATATTTTGATAATGTATTTGTTTTATATTAAAAATATTAGTAGAGTTTTTTTATAAACTTTGTCAAATTCAAATAAGTTTGATTAAGAAAAAAGTCAAATGGCTTACAATATAAACGAATGGAGTATATAGGATACGCGGCTTAAGATTCTAAGAATCTAGTTGATAGCCAGTTTCTGAGAATCTGAAGTGAGGTTTATTTTTTAGATTTTATAACTAAGTTTAAAATTTGGATGATAATCTGGATTGCTTGAGGGAGCTGAAGTTTATGCGAGAAACTTCGGCTGCTAAAAGCTCTTTCAAACAGGTCTTGTTGCAGGAATCTTGCGGCGTGGTGGTAGTAACAGCGAGTCAGAAGTCAGAACTTCTTCGCAGGACACAGATTTAACACTGCATCACCATTGGTGCTCGCTAACATGGAGATCTGCAAACCCGTTAGTTTTTGCGCAGCACAATCGATGCAGCCCCCATTTGCGAGGCAAGTTCGATGGAAATGCCGTTGAAAATGGAACAGATATGCCCACTTGCAGATATAGAACAGTATTGTCCTCCAAATCTCGAGACCGTAATTCAGATTCAGTTAATGACGCGATTGACGGCATGGCCTCGATCTACAGCAAAACTCTTCTTCCTCTCTCTCACTCTCTGTTGCGGTCTTTTCTTTTGTGTGTGTAACTGAGTTCTATCACTTTTGAAACGATTTAACACTTCTGCGATATGGTTTAGTATTATAGTTAAAATCTCGATTGCATGATTTTACATTTCTAACTTGTAACTAAGGTACCCAACTCTACGATTCCATACGGTAAAAATGAGTAAATTGTATCACCAGTACACAAACTTGTCAGGTGGGTGTAATCTAGTGCACGAATTTGTAAAATGCTCATTTTAGTGTATGAACTTGTCTGGTGCGTGCGGAGGAATGTGAAAAGGTTACTACATGGCTAGTCTTATTGATTTAGGGGCTAATTAGGATACTATGTAAATAGAGTAAATTGTATTGGTGGTACACAAACTTATTAGCTAGGTGCAATTTAGTATATAAACTTGTAAAATACTCGTTTCGGTACACAAACTTGTCTAGTTTGTGCGGACGAGAACCAAAATAACTTGGCAATGTTAATTTTACGAAGCTGATGTTAGGATGTGACGTGCATACATGTAGTGAGTATGCATAAGAAATGCAATATTTATAAATTTAATCTCTAGTTTATCCTTCATCATGGAAATGATGAATTTCATATATTTCTAACACTTATATTGCTCAGTTTTTTTCTTTATCTTTATCTTTTTCTACTATCACTATATTCTATTATATTTTTTATTGAATAGGTGTATGCCTGATAGCAACCTTCTCATATATATATTTACATAGTATCCTAATTAGCCCCTAAATCAATAAGACTAGCCATGTAGTATCCTTTTCACATTCCTCCGCACGCACCAGATAAGTTCGTGCACTAAAATGAGCATTTTACAAGTTCGTGCACTAGATTGCACCCACCTGACAAGTTCGTGTACCGGTGATGCAATTTACTTCGGTAAAAAACTATAATTTTATAAATTTCACTAGAAAAAAATATCAGTGCTTTGTAAAGGGTGAAGCTATTTTAATATTATTATTGTTATACAGTTTAGCTAAGGTAAAATTCATTGTGGGAATTCGTTTCAATTTTCTTTTTATAAAATCATTAGCTGCAATTAGAAGTTCAATCATCTCAAGTTATCATGCGAGTTTTTTTAAAAAGAGATTTCTTATATGACTTCTTCTATATTTTCGAAAGCGAACGAATTTAAAAACAGCTCAAACATGAATAGGTATTTCCAAAAGCGAATGAACTTAAAACCGACTCTAACTTGAATTACGTACCAAAGTACCGGCAAAACATCTTCAATTTTTATAATATTAGATAGTAGAGATAGATATAGAGATAAAGATAGAAATATAGATAGAGACAGAGATGTATAGGATTCTATAGTTGCGATTCTACTTAGAATTTCCAATTCTAATTTAGCATCGTGATTTCGAATTCTAGTTCAGGATTGTGATTTTAATAATCTTGGTTTAATATTTTTTAAATCACACTTTAGTCATTTTGAGTCATTTTGAAACTTTCTACTACGCCCGTCCCAATAAAAATCAATGACCGAATGAGACGATTATTATATTTTGGAATGGAGGGAATATCATTTTTACATCTTTTTTTCCTGTGTGGCCTGTCAAATAAATGGGAAAGTAATTTCATCCCTTGAGGGGATATCCCCTCGTTTTGTGCATGCCACCTAAATAGTCGTAAAAAAATATGAAAAAAAATGACAACATAGATTAATATGAAATGTATCACTTCACAAACATGCAAGTTTAAATTCAACTTATACAAGTTGTAACAAAAATAACAAATATAGTTGTGGATGCGCGATAACTATTTTCAGTTTAATTTTTATTTTTGTTGCAACTTGTAGAAGTTGAATTTGGTCTTGCATGTTTGTGGAGTGATATATTTTGGATTAATATAGTCAATTTTTTAAATTTTTTGATAACTATTTAGATGACATGTAAACAACGAGAGGAAAATCCACATCCCAAATAAATAAATACTACAACTATATTACTCCTCTCACAAAGTGTAATTTGGGTTGTTTTCTCAAATCCTATGCACAAATCCCAAACAACAGAATATATTTGAGTTGTTTTCACGTCACGCTCCGTTGACATTTTTTGGGTTTGAGCTCTTCTTCTTCGACAATCATTTCATTTCTACATAGACCTATCAGAACTCATAACACAGAACCCCCCTGGTAACATCGTCATCCACTCATCCTCACCGATTCCGACGTACGGATCGCCGCCGCCGTCGTAGCTGCACCGGCGGCAAATGGGAGCGTACGACGAGCCGCCACTGCGTCACCACCACGGCGGCGTGCAACCCATCAGAGACATCTTCACGTCGCTCATCTACGTCGCGCTCTGCTTGGCCCTCCTCTACCTCCTCTGCCTCACCCCTCGCGGCTCGCCGGAGAACGCCGTCTCGGCTCTGCTCCGGCACGTCACCATTGCTTCTTCCGGCGAAGGTCGTGGTAAGCTAAGCGCCCATCCATGGATGCGCGTGATCGCGTCGTTTCAGTGTAATCTTGAGTTGATCTCGTGTGTTTGTGTTGTTGCAGGAGGAGGAGGCGGCGGCGGCGGGTGCGACTACTCGGAGGGGCGGTGGGTGGCGGCGGCGGGGCACGCGCGGCGGTACAACGGCACGGCGTGCGACGTCAAGGGCAGCGAGGACTGCGCGCGCAACGGGCGGCCGGACACGGGGTACCTGGACTGGCGGTGGCGGCCGGCGTCGTGCGAGCTCCCGGCGTTCGACGCGGCGGCGTTCCTCGCCGCGGCGCGCGGCAGGCACGTCGCGTTCGTCGGCGACTCGATGGCGCGCAACCAGGCGGAGTCCCTCGTCTGCCTCCTCGCCGCGGCGGCGTTCCCGTACCGCCTCGTGTACCGCGACCGGGAGCCCGGGACGCGCAAGTTCTGGAGGTGGGCGTTCCCGACGCACGGCGTCACGGTGTCCGTCTACTGGGCGCCGTTCCTCGCCATGGCCGCCGGGAGGCCGGAGAACTTTAGCGTGCAGCACAACCTCGTCTACCTCGACACGCTCGCCGAGCGGTGGTCCGCCGACGCCGACACGATGGACGTGGCGGTGATCAGCACGGGGCACTGGTTCTGGAACCCGACCGTCTACTACCACCACAACGGCGGCGAGGTGCTCGGCGTGCACAACCTCCCGGAGCTCAACCACACCGAGATCGGATTCTTCTCGCCGTACCGCGAGGCCATCCGGATGTCGCTCGAGCGCCTCCTCGGCTTAGCCGCCGCCGGCCGCCGCGGCCGCACCGTGGTGGTGACCACGTTCTCGCCGGCGCACTTCGAGAAGGAGTGGGACGACCCCGCGACGTGCGCGAGGACGCGGCCGTACGAGGACGGGGAGAAGGAGGTGGGAGGCATCGAGGGGGAGCTCCGGAGCATCGCCATCGAGGAGGCGGCGGGGGCGGCGGCGGCGGCGGCGGCGGCGGCGAGGAGCAGGGTGGAGGTGCTCGACGTGACGAGGCTGGCGACGATGCGGCCGGACGGGCACCCGGGGGTGTACATGCACCGCGACCCGTTCGCGCGCGGCGTGCCGGAGCGGCTGCAGAGCGACTGCCTCCACTTCTGCTTGCCCGGGCCGGTGGACACGTTCAATGAGATCTTGCTGCAGCTACTGATCAAGAAGAAGCAGCAGTGAACAACACCGGTATCGTACAAGTACAAGTGACATATGCGTTGCGTACTTGCGTGCATGCATGCACGCACGCACGACAATATAACAACTTGACGAATTTCCTAGACATTTTTTATACTCTTAAGGGATACAAGTTGGAAGCTGCATGCGTTGGTAGATACTAAGAGCTTCTCCAATAGACTATTTAAATCAGACTCTCCAAACACATATATAACCAACTTTCTAATTGATTTAGCAAGCCAAATTTGTTGCTTACTTCAACAAACTCTGATCCATCTACGTACCCTCTTTATTTTGAGTCTATGACATTGAGACCCCAAATGTTAGCCTCTACTATACTCTTCCTCATCCTCTTTCTCCCCCTCTTCCTCACTACACCACAACACCAAATAGGAGGCACTTGATATATCGGGATAAACAACTTTTAGTAGCAAGCAGTCTGTCGGGAAAGACTTTTGCCAACACTTTGTCTGTTAGGTGAGTCCGAGTCCCCCTTCCTCCTCATGGTGTCTTGCTCCATTTACCCTGATGAGACTTCGGTGAGTTGGAGCCCCATATCTCCCCCGTGAGTTGACAACGTCCCTTTCATCCTCGCCGACATGCCTTGCATCTCGTTCCAAGCAACGACGAAAAGCCAACACACCTTCCTCCTCAGATCCGGACTACATTAGGAGATAATGGGACTTCTTTTTTGGGGGGAGCTAATGCAATTTAGTTGACATTTGAGGAGTTGGTACTAAAGTTTTTCAAATTTTAGTTGAAAGTTTTATGATTTTGAGTTGAAAGTTTCAAATTTTGAATCAAAAGTTTGTGATTTCAAGTTGTAAGTTTAAGATTTCGAATCAATTGTTTTTGTGATTTTGAGTTAAAAAGTTGTTTGTGGTTTTGAGTTGAAAGTTTTAAGATTTTGGACCATAAGTTTATGATTCTAATTTGAAAGTTTTAGACTTTGAATCTTGCGTTTTTGTGATCTGAGTTGAAAGTTTAAAGTCACAAGTGGAAGGTTTTGGAAATTGGAAGTAAAAGTTTTGGTAAGATTATCTTTAGGAATATAGAGCTAGGGGTATGCGTCGACACTTCAAATGCTCTTGGCATGCACACGCTCTATTCATGGAAAGGGCAGCGAAATTGGTCTGACTTCCCTAACGCATGCCTGACCTATCCTGCTGGTGCATACCCCCTCCGTCCTAAAAATAATACAATCCTAGCTACAAAACATATGCATGTCCAGATTTGTAACTAGGGTTTATCATTTTTTGGAACGGAGTAGTATGTGCGATCTAGGCGCCTCCGAAATTGGGTAACCTGTTTTTAATTGCTAGTTTATTTTTTTAGTAAATTACAGCGATGGTATATAAACTTTTGAGGTGGGTATAGTTTGGTATAAAAACATGTAAAACACTTGTTTCGGTGGATGCATTTTGTCTGGTGCGTGTGAACCTTAGGCCAAATGAGCATGCCATGCCATGGTTAATCCTACTTAGTTTGAATGTTTATTAAGATGTCGTGTAGGCATACATATTAGCATGCTGTCATCTAGACGTGCATATGTTCAATCAAATGTATAATAAGAGGCACTGATAATTGATGTTTTAAATAAGAACATATTTTTAGAGAAATAACTTTAACCACTATGTTCTGTTACATATAATAGAATTATCAACAAATATATAATTTTTGTTTACACCCAAATTTAGTACCTTTGCACGAAATAGGGAAAAATTGCTAAAGTTTGGAAAGCACCGGATTTTCTTCACATGGCCAGTCAGACCGCAGGTGTGTTGTCGGTCTGACTAGCTAGTAGGACCGGTTTGACCGCAGGCATGTGGCTGGTCAGTCCGTCAGAGTTCGAGCCCGAAGCGAATTTCGTCAGGTCTCGGGTTTCCTTACTCGGGAAGGTATGTTTTGGGTTTTCATTGGTTTCTACCCTGAGTTGAACATGGAGGAGCACCTGTAAAAGGCAAGACCAACCCTTATATAAGGGACAAGGCCGGTTCAATTGAATCACACAATCTACTTTCAACCAATTAGCCAATTGAATTGCTTTTTCAATATTGCATCTACTTTTCGCTTAGTTCTAGCCTAGTTTCGTCCATCTTTGTTGGTTTGCACCGTGAACCGTTCGCCGTCACTGCGAGAGTGCAATACCGCTTTGTAGGTTTGTCCCGTAAACCTTCTGTTCGCCCACGAGACGGGTGGTTATCCTTTGTTCCACCTAGATTAGATCCGCTAGCCGGTCTAGTTTGCAAAACACATCTTGATTTCGAAAGGCTAATGGGCGATCGATTGCCCCTAGCGATCACCCCCCTCCTCCACGTGGTTTCTTTTTTTGGCACCGCATTACTTTCCTATTTTAGTAAATTTATGCATCTATAGTTTGTACACCTCAAATTTACACATCTAAATTTTATACACCTAAAGTTTAGAGACCCAAAGTTTATAAGTCAAAAGTTTATATGTCTGATTCAAATTTGAATCTGAATTCAAATATTTTATATATATAGTATTTCTATACATCTAAAGTTTATACACCTAAAGTTTGGAGACCCAAAGTTTATAAGTCAAAAGTTTATATACCCGATTCAAATTTGAATTTGAATTCAAATATTTTTTATATATAGTATTTCTATACATCTAAAAATTATACACCTAAAATTTATAGACCCAAAATTTATAAGTCAAAAGTTTACATACCCGATTCAAATTTGAATTTGAATTCAAATATTAGTTTATAGACCCAAAGTTTATAAGTCAAAAGTTTACATACTCGTTTCAAATTTAAATTTGAATTCAAATATTTTTTATATATAGTATTTCCATACATAATTTTTTCTAACTTTGTTTTCTTTTTTTAAAATTTATGGTGTAAAAGTAGGAAGAGAAGAAGGGGGGGAGGAAGCCAGGAAGGGGGAGAGGAGCGTATAGGGGGGATGGGGGGTGATCGCTGTGGGAGATCACCCGCCCATTAGCCACGCCATCTTGATTTAGCCTTTTGGCTAGATCGGAGTGGTTGGCGACTCCATATCACCGTAAGACGTTTAGGTATCCCGATCATGGTTGTCTTCTTGCCAAAAAAAAGTTGTCAACAATTTTGTTGAAGTACTTTTTGAGATTAATCTATAAATATGGAGACCATGATTATAAGTCAAATACTACCCCCTTTTCAACTGTAAATCTTTTTGACTTGTTTTTTCAAGTAAAACTTTTTTTAGATTTAACTAAGTTTATAAAAAAATATAGTAATATTTTCAACACAAAACAAACAAAAAATATTAAAATATGTTCAACGTTAGATGAAATAAAATAAAATTGGTGCTATAAGTGTTACTTTCTCCGTTTCATATTATAAGTCATTTTGATTTTTTTAGTCAAATTTCTTTACATTTGATTAAGTTTATAGAATAATATAATAACACTTCTAACATAAAATAAAATAGATTATCAAAATATATATTCAATACTAGATTTAATGAAACTAATTTGGTGTTTAAAATATTACTAATTTTTTCTATAAACTTAGTCAAACTTAACAAAATTTGATTAGGAACAGAGTCAAAACGACTTATAATATGAAACAGAGGGAGTACTATATTTTCTATAAATTTTGTTAAACTTTCGAGAAATTTGATGGGAAACTATTCTAATCCCTCGAGGGGATGTTCCCTCGTTTGCTCAAAAACCATCTAAATGGTTATGAAAAATTCTGGAAAAATTTGACAACATTCATACAACACATATATACAACTCCACAAAATCTTAAGTCCAAACTCAACTCACACGTCGAGATATAAAAAAGACAAATTCAGCGTATGAATAGTAGCGTACTGTTTATATCTAAATTTGTCTTTTTTATTTCTCAATGTGTAGATCGAATTTGAACATGAATTTTGGTGGACTAGTAGGTATCATTATACTGTACATTGTCAATTTTTTTTCAGAATTTTTCACAACTATTTGTATCGAATTTAGAAGAAAAAGGTATACGAGGGGATATCCCCTCGAGGGATTAGAATCCACTCCCAAATTTGACTTTAAGAACGGAAGAAGTATTTTAGAAGTTATTTATAATATTTTTTGAAAAAAAAATAACATCAGTTTATTAAAAACAATAATTATTTTAACCGGAGGCTATAAGTACTTTGACCAAGTTGGCAAGTTGAATTCGTACCGCTTGTGGATGGTCATGCCCTCTGCCATTTGCTGCATCGATCCGCACCTTCCTCAATTAGATGCCCTGAGGTGTAGTACGAGAAATAGCAAAGAAAATGACCTCGAGGTCAACCCATCTCCATTGTCGACGCACCCATGCACATTTTCCCCTATCAGTGTCAGAATCCCTCTATATAGTACCAGTACTCGATACTCTACTCACTCACTAACCAAAACCCTCACTGCTCGATCCCCAAGCTCGAGATGGGAGCTTACCAGCCGCTGCAGCATCACCATGGCGGCGCCGCCGCCGGCTACTTCCTGCCAAGAACCGCCGTGACATGGCTCGCCGCCGCCTGCCTCTCCCTTGCCCTCCTCCACCTCCTCTGCTGCTCCCCTCCCGGCGGCCACCAAGCCGTCTTCTCCCCTCTGCTCCAGTATTTCAATGGCAATGGCACTTACTCCTCCAACATCTCGTCTTCTGGGTATGTACAAGCTAAGCTTGGATGGATGAGCGAGCGATCGGGCGAGCTAGCTAGCTCATCAATGGCGGTGTTCGTTGTCGTTATTGTTGTTGCAGGGTGGAGGAGAGGTCGTCGGCGGCGGCGTCGTGCGACTACTCGGTGGGGAGGTGGGTGCGGGCGCCGGGGCACGCGCGGCGGTACAACGGCACGGCGTGCAACGTCAAGCCGGAGCAGGACTGCGTCGGCAACGGGCGCCCCGAGACGGGGTACCTGGACTGGCGGTGGCAGCCGGCGTCGTGCGAGCTCCCGGCGTTCGACGCGGCGGCGTTCCTCGCCGCGGCGCGCGGGAGGCACGTCGCGTTCGTGGGCGACTCGATGGCGCGCAACCAGGCGGAATCCCTCCACTGCCTCCTCGCCGCCGCGTTCCCGCACGAGCTCGTGGCCCAGGACGCCGAGCGCTACAAGCGGCAGTTCACGCGGTGGTCGTTCCCGTCGCACGGCGTGACGCTGTCCACCTACTGGGCGCCGTTCCTCGTCAGGTCCGGCGGCAAGCCGTTCAACTACACCATGCCCTACAACCTCGTCTACCTCGACGAGCTCGGCAACCGGTGGGACGCCGACGCCGGGACGATGGACGTGGTGGTCCTCACCGCCGGCCACTGGTTCTGGAACCCGGCCGTGTACCACAGGCGCGGCGAGGTGGTCGGCGTGCACGCGCACCCGGAGCTCAACGCGACCGAGATCGGCTTCACCTCGCCGTACCGGGAGGCGTTCCGGAGGGCCCTGGAGCGGCTGGGCTCCGACGGGCGGCGGCGGACCGTGGTGCTGGGCACGTTCGCGCCGCCGCACTTCGACGGGAAGCCGATCTTTGACCCGACGGCGTGCACGAGGACGGAGCCGTACAGGGACGGGGAGAAGGAGGTGGGGAGCATCGAGAGGGAGATGAGGAGCATCGTGTTCGAGGAGGCGACCGCCGCGGCGGCGGCGGCGGCGACGATGAGGGTGGAGGTGGAGGACGTGACGAGGCTGGCGACGATGCGGCCGGACGGGCACCCGGGGGTGTACATGCACCGCGACCCGTTCGCTGGCGGCGGCGCGCGGCCGGAGCGGATGCAGACGGACTGCCTCCACTCCTGCCTCCCTGGCCCGGTCGACACGTTCAATGAGATCTTGCTGCAGATTCTGAGCAGGCAGCGGTGATTCGAGCCAGTGCGTGCGTGCGTGCGTCGGTGCGTGCATGGGCATTGTTTAATTGTGAATTGTGACTGTGGTGTGTACGTGCAGTTCAATTTCTCGTTTATTTCGTCCTGCTAATTGTAACTTCTGTGTGTTCTGGTCAACTCTGAATTAACCAATTTCATGGCAACAGAACAATTCTTAGGCTGTGTTCGCTTGTGCTGGCTGAGAATCTTTCCTTCCAGCATGGAAAACACATGATTAATTAATTACTACCTCCATATTTTAATATATGACACCGTTGACTTTTTATCCAACGTTTGATCATTCGACTTATTAAAAAAATTATGTAATTATCATTTATTTTATTGTGACTTGATTCATCATTAAATATTCTTTAAGCATAACATAAATATTTTAATATTTGCACAAAGATTTTGAATAAAACAAATGGTCAAACGTTGTTTAAAAAGTCAACGGCGTCATACATTAAAATACGGAGGGAGTATTAACTAAAACTAACTTGAGAAATGGATTAATATAATTTTTAAAACAACTTTTCTATATATATATTTTTTAAAAAAACACACCGTTTAGTAATTTGAAAAACGTGCGCGCGGAAAAGGAGAAATAAGAGTTGGGAACCCCTACAAACGAAGCACCCTTAGAACCGTTAAATCCATTGGTTTTGGTGTTGGTCTACATGCTAAGGACAGTCTCAATCCTCCATCTTAGAGCAAGTATAATTGTAGGTTGTAAGCCGACTAAATGCTGAGATGGAGGAGAGAAGAGAGGAGAGAGAGGAGAAGCGGGCTGTAAACTTACAGCTGGCTTGAACATAAAAATCAAGAAACTCTATGAGAGAGACAAGTGGATCCTATATTAATTGTAAAGAGCTAACTATTATATGGGTGGGTTGAGAGAAGACTGAAAAACCTTTATAGCCAACAAGTTGGCTGTATTATTAGCCTTGCTCTTAGTTAGTTTTCATAACATTAAATATAATGCCATATAAGCAAATAACTAATTAAGGTAGCTAGAGAATTAACTAGGCGAAATAAAAAACGTGAAGAAACCATTTCTCATATAAGAAACCAACCCTACGTAGAAACCAACAATGAAAACAACAAAATACATGGATGAAATGAGAGAGAAGGGAGATGATTGGATAGAGTTTATTTTGAAGAAACTACTCATTGAGTATATTTTTTTTATACATGATATCTAAGTGACATGACGAGTATGAAAAATATTCGATAGTTTTTGGGTTGGGATTGTCGTATGTTTTGGTGATGTGGCATTCAAGTGTGTACAAACATTTGCTTCATTATAAGGGAGGAGTAGAATGATGAGAGGACAAAATTTAGTGATATGGGAGCTAATGTATGTGCCATGACACCGAAATCACGGTGGTTTTGGTTCTACGCTTTGACATTATCTTTTAAAAAAATATTGTGGAGCTGTGGGCTTAACTAATTTCAGCATCAATAAATGTCAAGTGCCCAATTTTGTAGTCCATGAACAATTTGAAATGAACAATTAATTTCAAGACTACGGTTCATGAAACAGATTTTTCGTTCATGAACGTGTTACATATTCATCACTACTTCAAAAGAAATAGTTTTTGATATATTTCAGAAACAAGCAAATGACTAATTTGGATATATATATTTAAAACGAACCGCCCTCAATGGCGTGTAATATTTCCCTAAATGGAATGATACAAGAAAATAGGCTCGCTAGTTGGCTCGCCTTGTTAGTTAGCCCGTGCATATAACTTTAGAAAATTCATACCCAACATGGTATATTATTTTCTATTTTTGTGTAACCTAAAGCAGATAATATTTCCCCTTGTCCTATGCATATTGTTTAGGGTATAATCATTAAAAGATTGTGATTCTGCGTTTTGTTGAAACACACTTCATTTATGTAAAAAGACTATGGTTGTATATTGACTAATACCCTCGTTTCAATATTGAAAGATAATATTTGCCTCTTTTTAATTAATACATACTACCTTTCCCTTGTATTTAATTGTTTTAACATTATTATTTATTTTTGCTGTCAATTTTTTAGGCCAGTTTAAAATTTTATTTGGAAATAGAAGTGTTGGTATTTTATTTGATACCAACATTTTTTATCATAAGATGAGGATATTGGTATTTCAAAATTTTAGAACACAGAGAAGTGTAATAACAAAAAAAAAGAAGGAAAAAGAATGAAATTGGGGTGGGAGTTTGGCCCAAGCCAGATAGGCCCAGTGCCTCTCCTCTGTTGTTGGGCCAACCAAGTTGCAGCCCAAGTGGCCAGTTCGATTCGCATGCGCACGACGTGAGTAGGGGCAGGGGCGCGAGCACACAATGGAGCGGAGAGCACGCGTCGTCCAACTATTGGTGCCACGTGTCATGCACTTTTGCATGAAAACCCGCCGGCTTTAGAATATTAGATATGCACAAGGAGGCCACGATTGATTCAGAATGGTTGACCTTAAGAAATGGGCCTGTTTTATTTGCTAATAATTGAATGGCTGAATTTTTAGATAATGGAATGAAATATTCCGACAGCCAATTATTACAAGGTTCGCACAAAAGCAAACTCACACTGTGAGTATGTAGCCAAAGTAACAAAACCAAAAGTAAAAGCAAACTAATAAAAACCAAGCAAGGTAAAGACCCAACAACTATTGAATTCTATTGGTGAATCTCCACCCGAAGTTGGCAAAGAGCTACATGATCGTCGACTCAAGTTTACGACACGTATCCTTTATTAGCTTGATATGATCATCATACCTTTGTAGTTAAGCACATTCCCGAAAGTAATATGTTGCCCTGAAAAGAACCTGCAAATAATGAATAGCCGAATGTTTTAATTTGTCAGTACTATTTGAGATTACAAATGAATAAATTAGCTATCATAAAGTTGAAAATAAATTTAAAATAATAGTTTTTTTTTAAAAAAAACTCATATATATATTTAAAAAGTTCTTGTGAAAATCGTGTGTCATATTAACCCATTATTTCCTTTTATTCATTGGAAAATAATTGTTTGCGTCACGTGTGGATATCCGTGTGTCTATTTTTCTTTGGTTAGCTCTAGATCTCAAATTAATGACTACCCCTGTTTTTCTCTTTTGCTCGATGAGTTTATTTTACAGTTTTTGAAAATAATTGAAATGCGACCTTGGTCATTACTTTTTATAACTTTGCACTACGATACAGTAGCAAAACATAATATTATGAAAACATTATTACTGAAAACCTAGATGATTTCAGATATACTAGTGATCAAACTTCGGAAAATTTGATGGCAGGAATTTTTCAAAACGTCAAAATAATAATAACAAAAAGAATGACAGCCTAGCTTGTAGTAGTAGAGAAAAATAAGAGTCGACTAATACTAAATCAGGTGATTACTTGTACTAATTTGTAAACCGTGTGAGCGTCCGAGCGATGATCTAGCCATAAATCTTTCCGTTGACTCTCGCGATTCCAAACACGATGGCTTGGAATTGGAGCTCATACTTCGATCCATTCCGTTAATTAATCCAGAAATACTCCATTAGGCACTTCATCATTCTCCATTTTTGTTTGCTCCTACAAGAATAATCAGTAGTGTTGTGATCGCATCATCAATTCATTATTCATCATACAGCAATGGCAGCTGCAGAAGTAGAACACAGCGGCAGCTCCCTCCCCAAGAAGCTCGTCACTTTTGCTCTCTGCGCCATCTTCACCTTGTCCCTCATCTACTTCTCCTCCCCTCCTCTCATCATCTCCTCCACCACCAATCTTCTCTCCCAATTCCAAACACGCGCACGAGCTAGAACCACCGATTTTTCTACTCATCTCCCAGGTAATTATTAGGATTTTTTTTTCTGAGCTCAATTGAGCAGCATTTCTTGCGATCTTGATTGGTTTCTTGATTTGTTTTTAGACTCATTTCCCAGGTAATTATTAGGATTTTTTCTGAGCTGAATTGGGCATCATTTCTTGCGATCTCGATCGATTGGTTTCTTGATTTTGTTTTTAGATTCATCTCCCAGGTAATTATTAGATTTTTTTTCTGAGATAAATTGGGCAGCATTTCTTGCGATCTTGATTGATTGGTTTCTTGATTTGTTTTTAGACTCATCTCCCAGGTAATTATTAGATTTTTTTCTGCGCTAAATTGGGCATCATTTCTTGCGATGTTGATTGATTGGTTATCTTGATTTTGTTTTTAGGGGTAGCTGTTTGGAAGCAATGCGACTACAGTGATGGGAAGTGGGTGTGGGACGGCGACCATGGCGGCGCCGCCGCCGGCGGCGGCTCGAGGTACGACAGCGAGAACTGCGACATGAAGATGACGTACAAGTGCGTCATCAACGGCAAGCCGGACGGCGGCTACCTTCACTGGCGGTGGCAGCCGGCGTCGTGCAACCTCCCGGCGCTCGACCCGGCGGCGTTCTTGCGGCTCCTCCGGGGCAAGCGGCTGGCGTTCGTCGGCGACTCGACGGCGCGGAACCAGGCGGAGGCCCTCGTGTGCCACCTCGCCACGGCGGCGCGGCCGGTGACAGTGCGGCGCGACGAGGAGCGGCTGGGGCGCAAGTCTGGCGGTGGGCGTTCCCGTCGCCGCACGACGTGAACGTGTCCACGTACTGGTCGCCGTTCCTGGTGCGGTCGGAGGGGCACTCGGAGGACTACGGCATGGCGCACGAGGTCGTCGTCCTCGACGCGCTCACCGAGCCGTGGGCGTCCGACCTCGCCGCCATGGACGTGATGGTGATCTCCGCGGGGCACTGGTTCCCCCACAGCGCCGTCTACTACGACGACGGCGAGATCGTCGGCGTGCACGGCCGGCCGGACATGAACCGCACCGAGATGAGCGCCCCGTCCGTGTACCGCAAGGTGTTGCGCCGGACGCTGGAGCACGTGATCAACGCCACCATGGCGGACAAGCTCGAGCTCGTCGTGGTGGAGACGATCGCGCCGGCGCACTTCGACGGCAGGTACAGCTGGAACCACCGCGACGCGTGCTCGCGCCAGAGGCCGTACGACGGCGACGTCGACGGGGAGGCGAAGGTGGGGGACACCGAGGCCGAGCTAAGGAAGGCCGTGCTGGAGGAGGTGGCGGCGGCGGCCACGGCGGCGAGGCGGCGCTGCCCTGGGCTGCGGTTCGAGGTGCTCGACGTGACGAGGCTGGCCGCCATGCGGCCCGACGCGCACCCGGGCGTGTACATCTACAAGAACGCCTACGGCGGCGGCCCGGTGCCGGAGACGGCGGCGAACGACTGCCTGCACTGGTGCGCGCCGGGGCCGGTCGACACGTTCAACGACATCCTGATGCAGATGATCGCCGGCGGCTAGCTGGCCGCCGCCGCCCGCCGTCGTCGAGCTCGATCCGGCACGTGCGGCGCGGTGTGTCGCCGCACGCCGCGTTGCATGGTCTCTGCGTCTGCGTGGATGGTGGATCAGATCACGAGAATCCGAAGCTGTCGGTTTTGTTCTGACTGGTTCTTGAATCCTGACAATTGACTTTGGTATGCGTTTTTTATAAGCACTTTTTCAGTTCCATAAAAAATATTTCTTCAAATACGTATTACTAGAGATATATAAGAATATGTCTATATTCAATATGAGATTAATTTTTGATGGGACGAGATTGATTTTTGTTAGATGGAGGGAATGTTCTTCTGCCAATGGGATTCAGAATCGCAGTTTGCAGATGCAACGTGTGCTGACTTCAATCTCGATGCCATTGATTGGCACAGTGTACAATGGTCTATTTCACCTTGAATATAAGCATTTTTATATTATTTAGCAGTTAAGGAAAAAAAGCGTGCTGACTTCAATCTCGATGCCATTGATTGGCACAGTGTATAATGGTCTATTTCACCTTGAATATAAGCATTTTTATATTATTTAGCAGTTAAGGAAAAAAAGGCTTTAGAGTGTTTGTACTTGTAGACAGAGGAAATAGGATATATACGGCCATTGAAATAGGGAACTTAGCCCTGCAAACAACCCAATCTGAAATATAAGCATTTTTATATTATTTAGCAGTTAAGGAAAAAAAAGGCTTTAGAGTATTTGTACTTGTAGACAGAGGAAATAGGATATATACGGTCATTGAAATAGGGAACTTAGCCCTGCAAACAACCCAATCTGAAATTCGCTCCATAGGAGATTTGAGCCCTGCAAACAACCCAATCTGAAATTCGTTCCATAGGAGATTTGAACTCAAGACCATAGGGTACTACTCAGGTCACTATAACCACTAGGCTATATCCCTTTCGTATATATTTTATTGAGTATGTGGTGTGTTATGGTGCTGATTTTATTGCAAGGAAATGTTACAAATTTCAATAGAGAAGTGCTACACGAAGGGATCCTTTTCTATCTCGTCCTATACAAAGGGATTGCTAGAAATATACCATTGTCACGTAATAAAAGTGCGAGTACGTGTGATGCCACGCGGTGAGGACGTGAGACCGCTTAATCTCGTGCAACGAGGATGCAATACGGCTACTTCGCATCCCTAAGAGTATCTCCAACAGCTTCTTCAAATCACACTCTCCAAACACCCATATAGTCAGCTCTCCAATTGATTTGGCAAGCCAAACTCATTCCTCACTTCAACAGCCTCTCCATCTACACTCTCTATTATGAGCCTACGACACTGAGACCCGCACATCAGCCTTTATTATTCTCATGGTTGTGTAGGAGGCAGCATCCTTATGCGCCATTTCGTCGAACAGGTTGCAGGCAGGCCACATCGGCATGCCTGGGCATGTATCTGGTAGGCCAAGCGGGCATCGCAGTAGCTGAGGACGGAGCAGGTGAGCTCGTTGGCGGCGGCGGTGGCCGGGTGGACGGTGAGAGCGCGGCGGAGGGTGGCGGCCCTGGATCCGGAGGCAGAGCAACGGAGGCAAATATCAATCGATCGGTATGGGTTCATTTCATGGGTTGGGTTCGGTGGGGGATTGCAATGCAGACTGCAATTCCCTTCTCTCTCTCTCTACACTTTCCTCTTCCTCTTCTCTCTTCTATGCAGTGGCACGGATTCTATGTGGCGGCGGCTCTCTTCGGAGGAGGATTCTATGTGGCGGCGGCTCTCTTCGGAGGAGGATTCTATGTGGCGGCGGCTCTCTTCGGAGGAGAGGTCGATGGTGGTGGTGGCGGTGTTGTTCTACTGGGTGGTGGTGGTGAAGCCGGAGAGGATGTGGTAGGCGGGGGAGGACGCCGACGGGGAGTAGGAGGGCGCCAGCGCAGGAAGGGGAGGGGAGCACGCGGCGGAGGTGGAGCGCACGGCGGAGGAGCGTGGCCACCATGGTTGGGGAGGCGAGGTGAGAGGAGAGGATATGGGAGGAGGATGACGACGCGGCGGCCTCGCAATCAGACGACGACGCGGCGGAGGGGGGGCGCCGGCGGAGGGACGCGGCAGAGGGAGTGATGCCGGTTGTGGCTGGGGACGTTGGCGGCTATGGATGCGGCAGCGCCGGACTTGGCTGGGGACAGAGGCGGCGGTGCCGGATGTGGACACGGACGGAGGCAACGGCGGCGGTTGTGGCCGGGGACGGAGGCGGCGGGGATGGGCTGTGCGGGAGGCGAGAGCGAAGGAAGAGGGGAGCGAGACATGTGGGAGGGATAGTGCGTGGGGCCACAGTTGGCCAGTTCCATGGGATCTTTAGCTAGCCGAATGGCTTGGCCAATCAATTGGAGAGTATTTTTTTTTCTCTATGTTAGCTATAATTTAGCTTGGAGAGCCATTTGGCTACTCTGTTGGAGTTGCTCTAACTAGCTAACTCAGTGATTAATAGATTAATTTGTATCATTAGAAATTAATTAATTAATGTTATTTCTTTAATAAGCATCATTAGTACTTAATTAATCGATAATATGGTTGATTAATCACTAATCACTATACCATCCTGCTAGTTGGTGAAGTGAGACTGCACTAATTATTGCCATTTATTAAATCAACATCATTAATAATAAATTAATCATTAATCTGGTCGATTAATCACTATCATTGTACAATGTCGCTTGTTGGTGAAGCGAGACCTCCCTCGCGCCGCGGGTGTCGTCACGCCGTCGTCATTTTCAGGCAACTGTTTAACGATATCATATCGTTTTCGCACTTTCCCTCAGCAACGATGATATGTTATATGTTTGTGCCAAAAAAATATACCCCTTTATATTTCTGAGGAAAAATAGTAAATAAAAAATATATTTTCAAATTTAATTATAAGGTATTACACTCGGACTAGAGTGTGGTATCCTCGTCATCACCTTAAAAAAAGGCTTCTATGACTATGTCCTTTTTTTTTAATCTTAAATGTGCTCTTTATTAGCTCGTTGGTTTGGTACGATCACGAGACACCAGTACATTTACAGACTCTGGGAGGGGGTCAGCCCAAACATACAAGTCCCAACCCACACTTATACGAGCAATGTCAATTTTTTTTAATGTCTCACACGTTGTATTGATAGAGCAGAAAAAAATTACAAGATTACAACCCTGAAGGGTCGTAACCAGGAAAAAGAAAAAAAATATACCACCACCCACACACCGATAGCACCAACACACAAGATCGGGAGAAGGCTAACACCGGACCAGCCGCCGCTAAACGTGACCGACCGCTACTAGACCAACAAAGGAACACATACGAGATCACCCAAAAGAACGCCCTCACAACCAACGCAAAGCCAACTCCTAGAGTGTGCTTGCACCAATCGTTCGAGAGGCTTCGGCTAGGGTATGCCAAAACGACGTCTTCAAGAAGAGAAGCGACGGAAAACCGCCGCCGCCGTCAGTCGGGATCAAAAGGAGTCAAGACTGGGCTTTCGCCCGGCAACCACCCTTGAGGGATGAGACTGCATGACAATGCCCTCAGGAGGGGGAATTAACCATCGTTGTCGGTCCGGCCAAGGCCGGGCTGGGTTTTCACCCGCTACTTACCACCTGCGAATCCACGGCTGATGCACCGATACTCCACCACCACTCAACCTCTGCCAACATGTGGGACCACTACACCGACGCCCCCCGCCGGCCAGCCTTCGTGTGCCGAAGACCACGCCACATTCATTGGCAGCTCCTCCTCGCTCCGAGGTCGCCTTCTCCACCGCCGGCCACGCCTCTCGCACTAAGCCGGCCTCCTCCACCGGATGTGCCTCTCGCACCAATCTGGCCTCCCCCCATCAGCCGCGCCTCTCACGCCAAGCCGGCCTCCATCTCCACCGCCTGCGCCTCTTGCGCCGAGCCAGCCTCCGCTGCCATCGGCTGCGCCTCTTTGCGCCAAGCCGGTCTCCAACCCCTCCTCCAAACGCTGTCGCGTCGGCCAGATGCAGTCATCTGCCACGCCCTCGGCTAGCCGTCCGAGGCTGCCATGCCTCCTCCCACCTCAGCCACCGTGCCTCCTCCCACCGCCGTCTGTCGCTGCAGCCGTCACCAGCCGCCGCAGCCAACAGCTGCTGCCGCCACCGCCGTCGGCAGTCGTCTGCCGCTGCCGCCGTCACCAACCACCATCACCAGCCGCCGTCGCCAGCCGCCATCGCTAGCCGCCGCAGTCAACAGCTGCCGCCGCCACCGCCATCGGAAGTCGTCATCGCCAGCCACCACCGCCGCTAGCTGCTGCCGCCACCGTCGCCAGTTGCCATCACCAGCCGCCGTCCGCACCCATCACTGCTGGCCAGGCAGTGTCCGAGACAGATCCGGCCCGGCAAGGCTGGATCCCACCGTGTGGGGGCCGGATCCGTGGCCGCCCTCGCCGGGGCGTGCCGCCGCCGACGAGCAATGTCATGAGCACAACTATTACAAGAACGACCCGCAAAAGACAGCTTAGCACTTGGGAACTCTAAATGGAGCAGAGCTCTAATATGCCTGAAGAGCACGCCACCCGGAGAGCAGTCAAAATCTGTTGATGACAAGGCACACAGCAATGCAGAGTAATCAGTCTGATCAAAATGCGAGAAACCATGGTGAGCTGTGATCCGTAGAGCATGCAGACAAGCTTCATTCTATGACTATGTCTCGACGCCCCTGGACATGTCCAACCCGGACGGAATAGTCAACACCAGCCACACCATTTATTCATGCTGGGGTCGTCATTGGCGGGGAGCATGTTACGGGGTAAGAGGCGAGGAAAAGGGGATCGACGATGAAGGTCATCTGTGCCTTGGGAATCATGTTTGGTACGACGATTCTCAAAACTATTGATACCTGGTACTTAAAAAGCATCAGACTCGGTACTTGGTAGGTACTCCCTCCGTTTTACAATATAAGTCATTTTAGCATTTCTCACATTCATATTGATGCTAATGAATCTAAACATATATACCTATCTAGATTCATTAGTATCAATATGAATATGGAAAATGATAGAATGACTTACATTGTGAAACGGAGAAAGTAGTAGCGAATATCAATCCTAATATATATCTGGTATTCGACTAGTACTCATCCGGTATCATATGGTTTTGGAATAAGATCTTGTACAAATGTACAATAACAACTCTTATTTCAAAATCGTTAATAACAACAGCTTATATAGTTATACAGAATCAAGTTGCTGTAGGACCAGGATGTCAGATCAAGCGTTCACGGATCCAGGCCATGTATTATTTTTCCAACGAGAAGTGCACAAAAGGGATGTAGTTTTTCAATCTGCCAAGAGGGCTTTCTTAACCCATCTCTGGATATTTTGCAGTGGGAAAAAGTATATCGAAGGTCACCTCATCTTGTCATCATATTACAAAATCATCTCCCAACCGCAAAATCAGATATATGTCATCTCTTAACTTATAAAACCGAATCATTTTTGTTCAATGTGGCAGC